GTATAGAGCATCATGTGTGTATTGTCTTGTGTGAGAGGGATGAGGGAGATTAATTTTTTTACCACCGTCTCGCATCGTGCGGGGCGGTCCCGCATTTCAAAGTGATTTGGAAACACCCATTTTGCAGAAACTCCATGCGTGATCCTAAATTTGTCACGCATTTAACACAAGTCTATGCGTGTTAACGATTTATCACAAATTCAGGGGGAAATGTATTTAAAATTACAAGAAATTGGTTGTATCTATAAAAACGGTGATTTGAGTCATGAGAGAGTACAGTATTTCCTTGAAGGCCCTACATATTTCACTAACGAGTTATAAAAGTCCTGGGTTCAATTCCTGCCAGTTGCAGGACTTTTTCTCACGACCAAAACAATTCCACTCCCTAAATCTCATATTGAGATTTAGTTTGTGTAAAGCATCGTGTGTGTATGTTTGTCTTGTGTAAGGGATTGTCACCTACAAGTAGGACAGTGATATTTTTGCTATTGACAATCCTTGGCACATGTATTGTGTGCCTAAATAAATAAAAAAAAATCAAAAAAAAAAAAAAAATCAGTAATGAAATGTTTGTGTAGGTCTACATTTCGGGTGCTCAAATTAAACATAGGCCGCATATTGAAACTCACATTGGCTTTATTAAGGGGTGGTTCCCCTGCCGCTTGGACCCCACCCCTCAGCCAACTGGTATAGTCATTCACGCATTTCAAATCTCTCAGGTTGCTAACTGTTTTTGGCACTTGTGCCGAAAAAAAAAAAAATAATAGTCGATTTGAAATATTCCCCGAAAAATAATGATAGGCCTAACATATAATATGGTACTGTTGAAGTATTATTAATGGAATTAAACAAAAACAGGTTACGGCGAATGGACACAGTACTCAGAGAAACTGATTGAGGCCCCTTTATATTTCGGTTTACCTCCCGGTTGGGGGAGCACCGGGAGCTTATTTAAACAGTAATTAATTGCTTGACTACGGGAAACAAGGTGGTCACAACTAGGCCTACATACAAGATTTATAACCTACCAAAATTACCACACAGATTACGTTATATAATGAACTTCTGCCTAAAATAATAACTACAGACAGTATTGTTAAGAAAATTAAACAGTTTTTTTTTCCTCATGCCGGGTTTTTTTTTTCTTATACCCTTTACTTTCCACACCTTCAGAGAACACACTCTAGAGGGCGCATCCTTTGAAAATTGAATTTTTTTCTCGTCGAAAAAGACAGGGACGACGGTTATACACAATCGAATGGAAGAAGGTGACATTTAATAACTCACTTTGTAGCATTTAAAAGCAATGAGTAAGTTGCGAATTATTAATAATGGGTTCAACCTTAAATAACCGTTTTACTGTATAACCTATTTCTGTAGGTTATATATTTTGAGAAATTGAGATGATTGTGCATGACCAGCTGGCCTAGGCTAGGGCCTAGCCCTAGGCCTAGGTAGCCTAGGCCTAGCTGTTTTAGCAGAGGCATGCGGAGGGAAGAAGACTAGGCCTAGCCTAGTCACCCTGAAGTTCTTGGCTTACACTAACTTTGCCAACTAAATTTAACAAAGCACTATACAACTTTGGCTGAGGTTAGGTCTCCTACTCTCAGGCTAGAAAGGCATAATTAAAAGTTTAGGCCTACAACATGTCATATAGCCTAGATAGAGGGGCCTAATTTAAAAAAAAAATGCCTGCGTCAATCTAGCCGAATGGCCATCTAGCCTAGGCCTAGGGTAGCCTATGCTAGGCCTATTGTATGGCAAATGCCTTATTCTTAAGGTACTATTCTTAATGATCTTTTCAGTTAAAGATTAAATAGGTCCTTGCATATGCATCCAAATTTATTTCTCAAAAAAATTTCATCCATTTTTACATGCCATCACTTCTGTGTATGGAAATCACTCATGGATCCCTGTGTATGGAAATCACTCATGGATCCCTGTGTATGGAAATCACTCATGTCATGGATCCCTCTGTTGTAACTTTTGTGTTTAGAATTGTTCAATGTACCTTGTTGTGTGTCAGCTGTTGTTACTAATCAATTTATTGCTCAAATACAGGGAAATGCAAGAAGTATGCAAGTAATAGAAAATAGTTTTTAATAAAAATTATTTTGACTTTTGACACCTAAATTTTATAAATCTTTAAATGTATGCTTGCTCTGTTATGTTATAATAATAACGAGAATAAGAATAGTAATAATGATGATAATGATAATATAGTGCAATGAATGAGTATATTATTTTTTCTGCTGTTGTGGTTTTCACATTTTTATGCCTTTCAAATTGTGTAAACATTTGTTCACAATTCCGTTTTTTAAACTGCTAAATTTTGTTGCAATTTTCGATGTTTTGTTTTTATGAATAAAAATATGTTGATATAATTTTCAAGATCATTCTGAAAAGAATGTATGCTATTAGCCTCCATTAAAATTAAAGTTTTCTTTATTGTTCATTTAAAAATATTATTTCTATAAATTATTATTTATTATTAAATTTATGATAAATAATAGTTTTACTGTATATTATACAGTAAATATTTGTTTTAACTCCATAAATTTAAACATTAGTGTGCACTACTATGTTACTACAATATAAATAATATTACAGGTAGTAAAGATTAATTGTAAAGTGATGACAGTTTCATTAATAAACAGACAGATAATGCAGAGGTACTAAAATGAGTGAGGAACTATAATAAATTTAATTCATCGTAACCAAAATCAAATAGAATTTCTTTGACATATCTAGAGTAATTACTCATTATATAGTAACAATATGTATTACTTTATGTACTGTAGCAGTAGTACCATGGTTGAACTATTGTTATTGTGTTTCTCATAGTAATCAGAAACAGTGAATTGTGGATGATGGAGAGTTCATAATCGCTGATCATGGGTGGGGAAAGTGGTCTGGAAGGTCAGGTGGTCATCTGACCAGTATTTTTACTGAGAAGTTTGACAGTGCTATTTCCGAGCATCTAGAAGTGCTAAATCTTAACCTCAGCCTCAACCATGGATGGGCTGATGTTGGTGTAGACTCTCCTGCCTCACCAATACCTAAATGCTTCCGCCACCCCTGCAGATGTTCTTTTTTAGACTTAGCAATGATTAATGATGATGATAATGACAACATCACAGTATTTTTTGCCTTGGTTCATTGTGCATGCACATACAATAATCTGAGATAGCTTAATACAGCCTTCCAATTGTTTTTCTTAGCAAAACAGCTAACAATGAATTTATTGGGAGACGGCCATACATAGGCAATGTCAAGTGACATATGAACACCTTTCAGAAAAAATATTATTTTCTTGAAAAGTCTGGCTATTGCATTTTACATGATAAATATACAGGATAAATATTGGGGTGAGGAGAGAGGTTTTGTGTTAAAATGTGAAGTGTAAAAGGGGAATTATTCTTAATTGCAGCCATCATGAGCATTACTGAAATCTGTGAGAACACCAAAGCTGGACGTGAGTATGCTCTCCTGGGAAACTACGAAACGTCATTGGTATATTATGAAGGTGTGCTCCAACAGATTCAGAAATTTATCTCGTCGATGAGAGAGCCAGCTAGAAAACATATGTGGCAGAAGGTCTGTTAAAAATTGTATAATTTGATCAGTGGATAGGGCTACAGTATAGTAGGCCTACAGTATGTCTTGATGTTTGAAATGCTAATTTTATCAAATATAGGTATCCAGCCAGATTTAAATTCCTAAATTCTAACAATGGTGATTTTAATGATGATAATGTGTTTAATGATCATCAATGAAAATAGTGATTATGATGATTATAATGAGGATGATACTGATGATTATTTAATGCTGATGATTATAATAATAATACTGATTATTAGATTATATTGTTGAAGATGATCATTTATTTTAGTAGCTAACACTTAATAGTACAGGGATGAATTCCCTTTTTAGGCTGCCATTTTAGTTTCTGAGAGAAAAATATATAATGATGAAAATTATACAGTAATTTTAATGATGATGTGAGGATGATTATTACATTATAATGGTGAAGAAGGTGATGATGATTTTTATTATAATGAAGACAATGTTGATGATGAAAAGGATGATAAAAATAATGATAATTTGATAATATGCTAATAATAAATTATTAATAATAATGAAGTTTAACATGATTAAATTGGTGACAATGCTTTTTATAGTTGATGAAAAATGTTGATGATTATGATGAATGATGATGAAATTATATGAACATTTAATGTGCTCACATATGTTTATTAGAAAACCACCATTGGATTTCTAATTCAAGTTGTATTGACAGAAGTGTGTGAAGAATCTCTGAGGTGATGAATAAAGCATTGACCAATCAATAACTCCGACCTTTGATTACCAAACATTAATCATGTGACCTTAAGTGTAAAGGATACTATTGATTGTATAGGTATCATTGTATATAATTATATCAGTCAGGTGCTAGAATGTTTACATGATTCATATCCATACCCTAATGATTGACATTATTATTCACAGTTATTTATGCATATTTAAAGAGTTTATTAGCCAGCGTTATACAAGTACTGTAGGTTTGTTTTGAAGGTGATGTTACGATGTTTTTATAATTACTGTTGTTTGGTTATGTATTTTCAATTGCCTACAGGGACAACTGTCTTGCTTTAGACTCAAATTTATGCAATAAATGATAATTATGGAGATTCTCGATTGATCTGTTTCAGATAAGACAAGATATAGCTGAGGAGTACAACCAGGTGAAGGATATCAATACCACATTGAATAGCTTCAAGGCGGAGTCTGCAGAACCTGCATTCAGTAGGGATGCAAAACCATCCAGAGACCCAGATGTCTGGCCACCGCCAACACCAGTTGAACACAAGTAAACATTCATTTATTTTAATGGCTTTATTTTTTATATTTACTGTTGAGGTATAAAAAGTCTTGTAGTAGGTTATTAATTAGAATATAATGATTGTGATGAAGATGATTTAATAAATAATGACATGATACACATGATTATATGTTTTTAATATAGATGTTAATAATAGTGATGATGATTAAAATCATGATGAATTATACAATAAGAATGACAATGGGTGACTACTATCATTACAGAATTATAGAAAAATACCCATGATTATTATGGCTATAATGATAATTAGGCCTTATAATAATGATGATATTTGTGTATTCAAAGGTTGATTGTGACAATATGTCTATGATTTTGTGCACACTATTTTATTTCTTTTTCCATTTATAGTGTTTAAATTTTTAAATACAATCTATTTTCTTTCTCCTTTATTTAATATGTTTTTAATAATTAAAAAAATTTATTTTAAGACCTTCACCAAATTATGGAAGAGCTCCTCGCAAAGAACCATCATATCGACCGGATCCAAAGCCATCTAACCGTATATCTGCTCGTGATGCGCCACGAGGACCATCGGGAGGCCGAGCAAATGGTGGCCGTGATGCTCGTGGCCGTGGCGGTTCAGAGCGAGACAAGAGGGACAAAAAAGGAGGGAAGGTTGAAAAGGTCAGTTGAAGTACTGTTTGTGATAATTTATGTGAATAAAAAAAACTGTAGTCCAAGTTAAGACTAGAAGCAGTATTGACTTTGAAAACTCTTCTCTCTTTTTATCTTCAAAATCGAGGATAACTTTTTATTACACAATTTTTTTTTTCTTTTACAACTGAATGATTAGAATATATGTAAAGGAATATAATATTAATTTGACAGGAAAAAAAGTCACCAGAAGAAGGAGATGAGAAGAAATTTGACAGCGCAGGCTACGATAAGGATCTTGTGGAGAATTTAGAAAGAGACATCGTCCAAAAGAATCCCAATGTACACTGGTGAGTTGCTATATAGTGCATACTGCTGAGGCCTCTATGCAGGGGGTCCAGGGGGCAAAGGACCCCTCGTCGGGGAATTCCTGGCGCCGCCTCTGCCTCTATGCACAACACAATACTGTATTTGACTTTTGTTACATAGTTTAAAACAAATTGAGACTTAATAGAAGGCACCATTTAAAAAATTGATACAATAATATTATTTTTTGATGTATTTGCTTTCCCCATAAGGACCGACATTGCTGGCCTAACAGAGGCTAAGAGGCTTCTTGAGGAAGCTGTGGTCCTGCCACTCTGGATGCCTGATTACTTCAAAGGTATACGAAGACCCTGGAAGGTAAATCAAAAATGTACATCATGCTGGTGCTGCATGCTGTTTAAAAAAATACACCTATTTAATAGCTAGTGGGTTGCTATGTGCTTGCTGGGTTTTTGTTATCTTCTCTAACATCTTATGGAATTTATAGCGCCTTCAATTAATAATACCATTAGAAGTAGGTCTCTTATGATCCTGCATGTCTTAAGTTGAAAGTGAAACATCTTAGGCTGTGCAATTGGTTATGGCATAGTACATAAACACAATACAGTACAACTATATAAAGGCTTGCTGGCAAAGTATTTATTTTATGCGCTGCACTATTTACATGTCAGATTTATGAGAGCCACTTAACCTCTGGCTTGGACTTTCACTAAATTTAAACAGTAAATGTGAGGGCATCTTTGGCATTCCTGCCTGGGTCTAGCTGAAGCAGATTTGCTGTGTTTGCAAAGATCAGTGGGGGTTCTTTTGCATATATAGAGATCATAGACTGAATGATTTATTATTAGCTTCATTACATTTTAAGTACCAATATCTTTTCTCAAATATAAACAATATAAGCTAAGAATTGATGAGCTTATATGTACTGGTACTTGGTAGCACAGTGGTCTAATGTTATTGGACAATCTGTTTTCTCGCTGATCATCCTTCCTTACATAAACAAACCGGTACGGTAATGGACCCTGCCTTCAATTTAGAAAAACAATTTTACGAAGACTATTAAATTTGATTGTGTACTTAATACAAGTTTGTCCTGCAGCATTACTGAATTGAGTAGACCTTAGTTTATGTGGCAAATATGGAACTTCTTTATGAAAACAATTCTGAATAGGATGATCATTATAACCTTTTAATTTTTACATGTTAATATCAAGGTTATACTGAATCTTCATATGAACAACCTAATTTTAAGGGAATATTTTTTGATGAATTTTTTTTGTTTAAATATATGCCTGTGATGAGTTAAGAATAATTTAAATTTAATATTTAATATTTGAATTTTTTACTTTGTATTTTAAAATATTTGTATGGTTTATTAACAATGTGCATAATTAATACCATTAATATGTTCTGTATAGATTCTAAAATAAAATCGGATGGTGATTAATTTAAGGATTAGTGAAAAGTATGTGACAACTGAATTGTTTTCACCTGTGTTTCATTGGAATTATTTGGTAAACTTACTTGATCTTTTAAAATTAGCAGTTTAGTATGGTTTACCAGATTAGCACAGACGATTTCTCTTTAAATAATAAAATTCATCATCTTGGGTATTGATATGAAAAAAAATATGTAGATCTTTTTTTTCCAATTTTATTAACCTTTGGGTTTTGGGTTTTCTTTTTAAAGCAGCGATAGTATCTGGAACATTGGCATCTTCGATTTGCATGATTGCACCATGGAATACATTTCTTTCTGCTTCCTAATACAAAGCATGTTGGTTTTGGTATTTTTTTAAAAATTCAAAATTTATCACACAGAAAATCACAAGCGTGTGTTTATATTTTCCCATGATAGGGTGTTCTAATGGTAGGTCCTCCGGGTACGGGAAAAACACTTCTGGCCAAAGCAGTCGCAACCGAGTGTGGCACAACATTCTTCAATGTATCGTCTTCCTCCTTAACCTCCAAATGGAGAGGGGAGTCTGAAAAATTGGTCCGACTGCTATTTGAAATGGTATGTAAATTCTCGTGCTAACACATTGTTTTGTTTATTAGCAGTTTGGGTTTTATTTTTCGTTGGTTTCGATTAGGGCGTAATGATGGTGGGACCACCTGGAACGGGCAAGACCATGCTTGCCAAAGCGGTCGCTACCGAGTGTGGCACCACTTTTTTTAATGTCAGCTCGTCCTCTCTCACTTCCAAATACCATGGGGAATCTGAAAAGCTGGTCCGAATTCTCTTTGAAATGGTAAGTGACTTCATGTGCGTTTGAAGCTCTCGTGTGCGTGGTGTCTCATTTCATAAATTAATTAGAAAAAGATCAAAGCAATCTATTAATTAATCCTCAATTTATAGATTAAGGTGACCTAATCATTTTAGGGGTTATAATAATAATAATAATAATTAATAATAATAATAATAATAATGAATAATATTTACTTATACAGCACATTTTCAGATTAAAATTGTGTTTGATAAGTAAAGTAATAATACAGATAAAATTAGCAGTTTTATGCATCTCCAAATACCTAACTTTAAACTAACCTAAACTGAAATATCAATTAAAATTGAACAACTGTCTTGTCAAAACTATTACAAGTTATCTAAATTTTAAGCCGAAACTAATTAATATCCGCAGTTCAAATTACTTTAATATATTAAAAAAGTGTCTGCATAAACAAAATTAAAATTATGATTGAATTAAAACCCCCAGAAAATTTACCATTGTTTACATAAACCTGATAGTATTGATAGCAATTTTGGGGAATTTACAGATATTCTCAAAGTCCCCATATGGGTCCCCATATGGGTACCCACATTTTATTTTGCATATTGTACTAACAAAGTGAATTTTCATTTCATTTCTTTGTAAAAATGTTTTTAAGATACATTAAGATATGACTTTATGATTCTATTTATGTCTTAATTAGTATTAAAATATTACTATTATTTTTTATCTTAAGTATTGTGTATATATTATGAATAAAGTGAAGGGTGGAAGCGGTACGACTCTTGGGTTTGAGACCCATGCTGGTCACACTGCTGTGTAATATGCATATTCTAATTTTATATATTTGAATTTCTTTAGGCTAGATTTTATGCTCCTAGTACCATCTTTATTGATGAGATTGACTCAATCTGCAGTAAACGTGGTGGAAGCAACGAACATGAAGCAAGTCGTAGAGTCAAGTCGGAGCTGCTGGTACAAATGGATGGTAATTATATTTGCAAACTTTAGTGATACTACTCTCACACTTGCATATCTAGAAGTCTTGAAGTGGGGGTGCTGGTGGGTGGGCGCGAAGGTGAAGTGGGGGCTCGATGATCAGTTAAGGGGTGCTAACTCACAAAATAAGGTGATTTTAAGTGATTTTTAACTACTGGACCATGATTTTTGGGGGCGACTGGAGGGGGGGGGCGCAAGTAATTTTTGGAGGATTGTGGCTTTAAATTACTTGTTAGAATTTAATCCAGAAATATTTGAACATGCTTGTGCATGTTGATGATTTTTATATTTATTGATGTATTACAGGTGTACAAGGGGCTACTGGAGATGGTTCGGACAGCTCAAAGATGGTGATGGTACTGGCTGCTACTAACTTCCCATGGGATATTGACGAGGCTTTGCGCAGACGACTTGAGAAAAGAATATACATTCCACTTCCAGGCTGTGAGTAGCCATGCATAAAAGCTTCCATTCACCAATCACAATACGCATAAAACTAGATAATAATCTTGTTGCAACAGCAACATGAAATGATGTTTAACTAGATGCAACCCAGTTGGTGTTATATAATTATTTACACTGATTGATTTTCAGTGGAGGGGCGGGAACAGCTACTGAGGATTAACCTGAAAGAAGTGCCATTGGCTGATGATGTTGACCTGACGGTTATCGCACAACAGCTTGAAGGCTACTCTGGCGCTGACATCACTAACGTCTGCAGGTAAGTACTAATAATGGACATTTCCAGAATTCTAAGCAACAATATGTAAGAGACAGGCCTTAGCATAATGGTTAAATGGCATGGCCAATGGTACGTGCATTCATACTTTATTGTGAGAATAAAATCTTGGCCTGGGCTCCTGTGATTAAAAGGCAAGCTCAGCCCATTCAAGTTCTCAATCATTGTCATTTCATAGGGATGCGTCAATGATGGCCATGAGGAGAAGAATACAAGGTCTACGACCGGAGGAAATCCGACAGATCCCAAAGGAAGAGTTAAATTTGCCATCAACTGCGGAAGACTTCTTATCTTCCATCAAGAAAGTGTCGAAATCCGTAGGCAAAGAAGATCTAGAGAAGTATGAGAAATGGATGGTAGAATTTGGAGCGACATAAGATTTACCGAACAAGCTTTCATGGTTTCCCTCCTTTGCAGTGTCTGCACCTACCTGACCCACCCTTCTTATTACGCCTTATTTAGGGATGAGCATTTGCAAAATATTTGCATATTAATTATTATTCACAGCACTGACTGTGGTGGCACACTATGTTCCTTAGTTGAAGTAAAAAATTGTGCAGCAAACCCATTAAAAAATAATAGCTTTCTGCAATACATTTAGGGGAATATTTGGTATCAGGTCACAAATGGTTCATGGATTGCGTTTTTGGACTATACACATATGCACTGTGTGATGGCGGCTTATAAGCAAAATGCCTATCATAATTGATAATACTTTCAATGTTACAGTAATACTAGGTAAGAAATTGTTACACTTTATCCCTGTTGTCTCTATGCATAAGTATATAAGTGGGTTTAGATGACATCAAGTTCACAATTGCCTGCAACATTGAAAAACTTTTATCAAATACTCTCCCAAAAAGGTTTTTAGAGGCCTTTCTTCACACTATCATGTTTATCCATATATGGGTGTGATATGAGATTTACAGACATGAAGCTTGCCATTCCAAACCAGCATACTTAATTAGCCTAGGAATGTGCCAGTATTGTATACTTCAGTACAGAGAAGCCGTAATACTTTTACTCATAACTTTGAGAATAGTAAGTCGATTTGAGTAAATGACCCATCATTTTATAGCTTACAATTTGGGGAATAATAATATATTAAAAACTCATTTTAATTTTTTGGTCACTGATTTGGTTTTGAGAAGGCCAGCCTCAAATGATAGCTAAAAAACTTTTTAATTAATGAACTGTTACAAATGATGACATAATAAAATTTGAATTTTTTTCATCTATTCTAAAAGTTTCATAGTAAGAAATAAACAGCTATATCACTCAGAAGATTTACTGGAATGGAACAAACTAGTATCTAAAATAATATAAATATAATTTAGCAACAAGGAAATTTCCTATGAAAGATGTTGATATTCTTCGGACGATATTGTATATAGTATATAGTTACACAAGTGCTTTAAATAATGAAATTACGTTTGGTAAATTGAATAGTATACATCATACAAAATTTACAGTAGCGATAGTGTTTTTTTCTGTGTCCATAACAGTATATATAAACATTACAAAAATTATTATAATTTTTCATCATTTGGAATTTTTTCCAAATACAGAATAAATTAATTTCTCAGAATATAGAAATGATAATCAAAGTAATTACTTTCTAAAACTGTCCAATAAAAGTGTAATACTAACTAATTAAAGAATTGATATATTTAGATTTACATACAAGGTATGTTGAAATAGAAAATATAATAAGGAGAAATGTTTAAGATAGGTATCTGGTAACTGCTCATTTTCTCAATCAAATAATTATGCCATTACATAATTTGGTGTGTGTTTTGAATATTTACTAACTGTATAAGGCCAGCTACTTCACTTTTACACAAGAATAACCTTGCATAATAAAAATTTGTCAAAATGGGTTAAAAATTATGTTTGTTGCTCTTTTTTCTTGTTTGATTTTGATAAAAATGATAAGTACTTATAACATGCCGGAATCTGGTCAGAAGGAACGTTCATGGTGAGTTGATGGAGCCAATCACATATATTCAATAGATATGGATAAAAATTTGCAGAATATGAATGTTAGCTGCCAGTTAGTTGCTATTGATAGCAGAGACTTGAATGAAAACAACCAGAAGCAGCAACCGAATTGGGAATTAACCCCCGATCGGACAGGCCAGATCAAAAATGAAAAAAATAATGCCAAAATAACATTATTTTGATTGCCAATTCCTAATATTGTGGTCTAAAAGAACAATCAGGGACATACCATGGAGGTATTATTGAGAAGGAGACCACTTGGCAACAGATCCCTTTGACGCGACAAACCAATGTGTTCCCCGCCTTTGGATCGCATGCGGGCGTATTATATTATTATTTACATTTTTTTGTTAGCAACAACTTGGCAATGACATGCGTGTTTATACACAGCAGTTATGCAATAACCTGTTATATTTTAACTCTATAAATATCTTTATAATTAACAATGTTCCCGATTGGATTTTTGTGGACTTTTAGTACAGTATTATGTTATGTGTATATTTCAGGAACAGATTCCGCAAAATATTTCTGTTACTTCTGGGATCATTATAATTTTGTCTAAAGATTGATTGGTTCGACTATAAAGCTAAGGCAACGTATAATTGAAAATTACTCTGATTTTGGATTGAATTTTCAAATAGTTAACCCTTGTTAACCCTAAAATGACTTAGTTTATTATAATCCTCAATCATTCCTTATTTAATATCTGTTAAAATTAGAAATATCAAGTTTTATCCAATTTATGAAAATTTAAGTTGAAATATACCATACTTTTAAAGCTGGTGTAAATGTTTCATTAAATTCGAAACTCTTTTTTGTAAAAAATATTACAGTATTATGTTTGGTATTTCTTGAAAGATAAATGTATTAGCTTCAAAATGGAAATGACTGCGCAGCCATAGTGATTGACTGTATGTAGTGCACATTGAGAAAAGAAGGTGCTCTCCATTTCGCCATGTTCAATTTTTTGGTAAACTAAGCCTGATGAGCATTTGGTGGCGGGGAACACATCACGCTTCAAAGGCATTGCGCAAACATCCTTCACGCGCTGCGGCAGCTTTGTTCTTGGCTCATTTGCATAGCGCTACGTGCGCGTGGCTTTTTCGAGTGATCTCCTCAATAATACCTCCATGGCCATACTAAGCCATACAAACTCCCCTGTAAACCATACCTGGGATTTATTTATTCTGGGACAAAGCTCTAGCTGACTCCTTGGTTCAGACCCCTGTCATACATCTCTGGAGCCAACGCTGTCTACAAGTGCTCAAATAAAGGAAAAATATTTGAGCACTGTTATTATTATTTATCTACTTTGTATATACTGTACTGTGTTTACGATGCTATGCAGTGTAACTAATTTGAATATATATATTTTAATAATTTAAATAATATTAGCCAACTTTGAGCAACAAAACAAAAACCATGAAAAATACTTCACAATTTTCAATATTTATTTTTGCACTTTAAAGTGTTTGATGGGTCGTTTGACACATGTCTACTCATGTAATCAACAAGTGAATAAGGAAAAAATGAATGATGAAAAGTAGTTCTAATGTCTTCCCCCACATGTGACTCATACTTATATTACTATTCATGTAACCTGGATCACATGTTCAGACAATCATTACTTTAAAAAAAGGTTTTTAGAATTTTTATGAACCAATCACTTACACCTTCGTTATTTTAAGTTTCCAACCAATTTAAACATTAAACATAACCACAAATATAGTAATACAGCAGTCAACAATTTATATGCTAAAATAGTATTGCATTATAACCTACACATACAGTTACTCTGCAAACTGTATCCGGCCAGAAGACGATTTATCTTGTGGCTATCATTTTATGTGTTGCAATGGATGTCCATTTTTCAACTTTACACATTTTTAAATTTCTAATCTGTTTTTACCATTCCTATTTCATTTTTATTTACAGGACAGTATGACTTTAAATTCAATTATGTAAACAAACAACAAAATAATAATTGTAATAATAATTGATGATAATATATATTTATGAAGAATAATAGAAACTACAGAAAAGCAAGTTTGTCAGGGTGTCCACATATGGTCAACAGATGCACTGTTTGGTAAGATACAATTTGCATAACCCTTTAAAATTCAATTAAATCCAAATTGCTCATTCAAACAGATAAAATAAGTTAATGATCGCCAACACAACATATTTATTTTGGCTGATTTTCATGACTTTTTACCTCAAAAATTATATAAATTACTAGTAAAGTTAAAGGGCTATGCAAAAAATATAAGAATATTGTTTGTTTTATTTAGCAAGGGAAATATTTTCTTGCACTAATTTTCAATAAAAAGTTAATAACTTACAAACATTTTTTTTTGCATTTAACTCAACAGTAAGTATATCATTATTTGGCAATCACCTTTCAAAGTTGATATCACAGAAAAGAGTGTAACTAACAGATATAGTCTGTTATTATATAAACAATTATGCATTTATTAAATTTCATGTTGATCAAAACAGTAGCTTTGACAGCTCCTTAAATTCATCAAATAAATAATTTCTTATCCTGGACAATTACATTATCAATGTTAGATTTTCTATCCTAGCCTATGATATAACAATTCATACAATAATGTACATTTTGTAGGGGAATACTACTTCAAACATACACATAATCTTCCTAAATCATGTTATCAATGAGCCTAATCATACTAGAAAACATGTATACTGTATTTTAAACTCTTTTTAAATTTATATCCACGCTACATAACACCCAAATATTAATCCCTATGTTTACATACACTTGACAGATTTATGTACCTGGTAATTTAAGTAGGGCACATCAACACGAAGAAGTGTGCCCTTACAGCCTGATTACGTCATCAGGGAAATCACCTACAACACATGCATGCATTTCAAAAATTGGAAGACGGTTTAATAGTTATTGTTTACAGATTCTCTTCTTTTTTTGAAATACAATTTTTCACGAATCTTTATTTACATGTTTATAATCTTGTCTTGCAATACAAATGATTGATTTAAAGACAGGTATAATAACTTTTGTGTATTAAAAAAAGAATTTGATATAATATGTATGGTATAACAGGACTAGAGGCAAACAAAAAAACAACATTTCAACAATATGAACAACGCCTAATATGATGAAAATAAAACACTTTTGGTTACAGCTCTAGTCATTATATATTTAAAGCTATTCTCAGTTAATTTGAAGGACAAAAACCAAGTATAATAATGGAGTTGGGAGAAAAGAAAGTTTATGAGAAAAATATATAAATATGGTACACTGAGCCATACGAAGATACACACCCACACAGTGAGATACAACACACACACCCTCAAACATGCAACACCCCCACCCACCTACTACAGAGTAAACAGAGAGATAAACTTGAGTTAAGCTACATACACACATATGGTTTATACCATGCATGTACATATGTACACACCTTTACAGAAATGCTACATATCCCAAGCAACTTGTCCTACACATTGAGTTGGAAAAAAACATTGTAAGAGCCTCCTGGTAATTATAATACTAGCACCTTATAAGTCAATACTCCTCCTTGAACTACCAAGGCCTTGAAAGCCATAACACAATGTGATACTCTACTGATGCAACCTACGTCAGAGGACATGGTATGTTGCACAAAAAATACATGGTGAACTGACTTATCGAACAGGATGTAGGCTTAGTAAATGGTGACTATTATCCTTCGCAAGAAATATTAAATTACTTGGATGAAGAAAACAAAAGTATGATCAACAGCATCTGTTACTAGAATGTAATCTGGTATCATGAAGTTCTGTGCATACCACAGAGCAGTTATATTAGTGGTCCATACTATAAAGTGACTAATGTGTGGGATTTGAGTAGTTAAGAACTAAATTATATTCCTACTCAGGCTTAAAGATGGCATGGTTTTGTTTGGTCCTATCAATCTAGAAAACTTTGGATGGAAAAGAAATACAGCACTGAATAAAGCTTTTTGGACTATCAAACATAAAAAGTGACCAATCAGAAAACATTATATATTAGCCAGGAATACGCGCATGTCCCACTAAACACTGAAGTTTATGTACGTTTAAGGTCCTACACCTTAGCAACAATAAACACTTTTGAAAGTATTTAATTAATGTCATTCTGACCACCTTTCTAAACGATCTGAAAAAAGAGAAAAAAAAAATTCCCAAAAAAATAGCACCAAATGTAAAAAGTGGTAAAAGGAGCAAAACAAACACTTATAAATAATGCAGGGAATGAATATAAGATATTAAATAGAACACTATGATATACTCATTTCTGATATCAGTCATCCTATAGAATTTATTCATAATCATTCCATCAAACTTCTAAAATCTTACAGAAAAAAATCTCATATATATGTGGCAGAGCCAAGCCAAAGGAGGGATATGTCAAATTTTTCAAAATTGAGTTAAATGCTTAATATGCATGTTTTAGAGATTAAAAAAAGAAAAAAATGACCGATTTCATGTTTGTGCATTTATTGGAAAACTGCCCATGCGACTTATACCTCCTTTGGCTAGGCTCTGCCACATTGTGTCGTGTATGCTGGATCATAGCATAGTTCCCTCTAGACTGCAATATTGTCTTTATTGTGTGTTCAGTTATCTTTCCAAGTCATTCAGTCTTCTCCACATAACACGCCATTGAAAAGCTAAGTAAAATAAATTTTTATTGTGGATTTTGTCTATTAAATATATATTTATTTTGAAACTATCTGCTACAAACCTTCATATGGTAAATTTAATTGGATGGAAATTGTTAAGACATACACAGATCAAACATAGGTTCTTGGCAACAGATATAAACCGACAGCAAGTAAAATTATCATAAAAGAAAATAAAGCAAAATAACTAAATTCCAAATAGTAAAATTAAGGGTCATAAACTAATGGTTCCAGTATATATGGAATACAATCAAATCAAGAAAACCTATACATTATGACTATAGAATATATACAGAACATGCCTCCAAAATCATGGATACAGCACTGCACAATAAACAAATAGAAAGAGGGGCCCTGTTACTAAGGGCTAGAAAATGTTTTTTTTTTTTGTCAGCACATCATTCCAAGGATGTCTGTATAAGGTCATGATGTGATGTCATCATTACCATATTCAGGCATGTCTTGTGCTTTTGTCAAATAAAATGTGATAGTGTGGATAGCGCTTTGGTATTTTCGATCAAAATATTGATTTTTGTATTATATAAAAATATAAAAACAAAAAATAATAGCAGTGATACTGACCACTAAATTGTAAAAATCAACAAGTATAATAATTATGATCAACAATAACACTACTACTACTAATAATAATAATCACAATAATAACTAAATATGTTCATGTAATTATAGTGTCTGTACTTATTAATGAAAGCAATGAAAAACTGAAGTACTATATAACCATAGTATCAATACATTAAGAAGTAAAAATACTATAATCCACCATCATGAATATTCATAAGACATTAATAAACCAGTATGCATAATTCATTAACTAAAAGGTCACAACTCTGATGAATTTGTATTACCTCATTTGGTAAACAGGTTTGATAAAATAAGAGATTATTGATCATGTTTACCAGTAATACATTAATATTAAATTCTACATGGGTTATGTGGATATTTAAATATCAAATAAAAAATGTATAATTCACTATTGAAACTATAAAATATATCTGAATTTATGGGAAAATAATGTGAATAAATTTTATCAACTACAATATTAATAATGTTCCTTCAACTATAATTATGCAGTTTTGGGATAGTCTTGAATTCGAACTTTCTAAATAATAACATCAATGCATTGATATTAATATTCCAATGAATGGGAATTTATTAAAACTATGATGATGATAATGACAATAATAATACTATTAATATTAATTGATATCTACATTGTTCTCTATACAGTAATGCCTGCAAGCTTTGAAATAAATACACTTGTAATATAGATATAGATGAACTAAAGTTGTGTACACAATAACACAAACTAATATACACAGAGTATTAATGTCCTAATGAAAACCAATTTACAATGACAGTTTTATGGTGAGGGTTTTATGTTGTCCCATAAAGAAAAACAGTGTAATAAAAATCTATATTCAATAACACTAGTGTACATAGTAGTAGTGTATTACTAAAATAGTCTGTGTTTTACTAAATTCTGACAGACTAGTATTGGTTCAGATTGTTCTATTTTCACGAACAAATATTTGTTAGTAAAAGGATGCAAGAAAACTGATGCTTTTAGGGAATGTTTCATATGTTGTGTAAATATAAACTGTTAAGGATCTAAAGGATCTTGCACACTTCTAAACGTCTACCACAGGACGAAGTTTGAAAGCAGATTAACCAAAAATAATGACAAGTCATGAGACAGTGGCTTTAAGATTGATAAAACTGAACAGATCACAGAATAGTGCAGTTATAGGTTTTCTGTCAATGTCATCACCTAATGAGGTATGGAGTATGGAACAACATATGAATATGTATGAATATATGAATATGTATGCGGCATATTTACTATGTGCAATCCTATCTTCAAACTAAGCACCCTGGGATACTTGCTCAAATACCCATTTCAATCCCACAATGCAATATCAGTCATTTAAAAAAAATGTAGATTTTCAAATATGACAGAAGATTGGTTTCAAGTGCTTCAATTTAAGGATATGTTTTTTACATGTTATTCATATATAAATTGTCAGAATATACTGTAATGAAAAGAAACATAGTGATTTGAAAATTTATGTATATGAAAAATTCTATTTATTTTAATATTTTAAAATATATGCTATCCTTGTATATAAACATCACTATTAATTGGTTTTTTTTTTCAAAGTAATTTAGTCATTTTTCATTTGAAGTAATTCATAGACCACCGACGTAGATTTGATTGTAATTTCTTTGTTTTTGAAATATTTGGACTGTGCTGTTTTTTTAATCCAACATTTATTCAGCCACTAAAATAAGGGAATCAAGGAGCAGTTAATAAACCTCATGCTTGCTTAAACTGCTCCTCCTACAAATAACAGATCACAAAAGAACCAGGATGTAAGGGGCTAGGATTTCTGTAACTGGGGATAATTGCAGTAATATGCTTATTGCTTACAGATAACCATCAGAAACTTCTTGAGAAAAGCACTGACAAATATACCTACTTAATACGAAAATACTAAGTGTTACAGGCCTTAAACAACTCCAGTAAATTCAACCAGTCATATTACACCACTTTAGGCTCAACCACTGCTTCCGCATTCTCACTCGGTACATGGATTTTTTTTACAGCGAAAGACTAACAGAGAATAAATTGTGCTAAAAACAAGACCCTATATCTTTGATTTACCCTGGATCGTGTTAAGAAATAATCTCTTCCCAATTTTCTTATGATTGCTAACTTGTTGAGAAAGGTTTTAATTTGTTTATTTGTATCTCCAAATCTATTCTGTCTTGCGTAAGTTCTTTGAGCTCCTGCTGCAGTTCGATGTTTAACCGTGACAGTTTCGTGTTTTCTTCTTTTACTTTCCTAATCCTCTCTTGGATACTTTTCCGGCTAGAGCTTTTAAAACTGGATTTTGAGGGGAAAAAAAAACCAATAACAAATTTTAATTAGTTACATAACTGATATTCTATCACAGGGTGACATGTCTACAGGAATTCAATTGCCATTCTTGACAATTTTTTCATGGCATAACACATATTGCCCCTTTGCTCACGATTACGGATTTGATTTAGCCTTCTATAAGGTGGTTATGGATTGGTCACCGAGACCTACAATTTCCCATCTGAGAGTGCCATATCAGTATTCAAGTGGGGGAGATGATTAAGGGGAGGAGGATGTGATGGCAAGTTGATGGATGAGGTAATATTAAGATGATTGTAACTACTTGACTGCAAGGTTTCTACTTAGTTGGAAGTGAGGACATGCATGACTCTTCCCCATGATCCCTCTTAAGCCGGGCACTACCAGCCCCGATTCCATTGAGAACGCAACACCATGAAATGCGCACAATGGATCGTTTTTAACGACAATCCGTTCAGACGGCCACAGACAATCAGCAGAGTGTCGCATCCTCTAGCGTTCACAGGGAGCGGAATTAGATTCATTGGCGGACGGTAGTATGACTGTCGTACGACGCAGTAAGTGCCCGGCATACGGCCCGGTATACTTGAGATCACAATTTTAGTGGAATTTTAAAATTTTGTTATTCAGCAGCAATACAACAATCAAAGAAATTATATGATAAATGAAGCTTACTCTTGAACATGTAAAGGCAGAGGAGCAGATTGGTGCCTCGTCCTCTCTTTTGCATAATCCTCTGTCTTCGTTGACAGCAGATCATCCCCTGATGCATGCCGTTCCTTGTGTGGTGGTGTGTCTATAGTTTGTGGCTGTGGAAAAAACATAAATACAACCATATATAAATAGCACAGTATAAGTATTATATAACAGGTTAAGTATGATATCCCATCCTAAAAAACAAAATCTGAAAGCAGCCCTTGGTCATGGGCTATGTGGGTCGTGGTAAGGGACGCTAAAGACAGAGTCACTGTGAATATTTTTGGGTTTATACATTTTGATACTTGTCTATAGTGTTGTATATACTTGGTTGAATGTAGTATTGTTGGTATGTCACAGTTTGAGTTGATAACCGAATTTGAATACCACGTGTAGAAACTGTAATGTCATGTGTTGAATAAAGCAGTGATGTATAGTACGCCATTCTGAGTAGCTGTCCGGACATTGGTGTCTTGATATATCAAATATATATTATATGATATATTGTGCAAAACCACACTATAATTTTTAGTGCCAGTGATGGTAAAAATTATAAATAAGCAATAAAATTAACCTTATTGCCTTGCAGTGCGTCTCTTATTTCAGTTATTACTGGTCTTGGTGGCGGTACCGGTGGAAATGCATGGTCTTGAATCTTTTGTTGACGACCCTTTACAAAGAAGAATAAACATTAGGATTATTCAAAAACTTCTGTATATATCGGTAATACCCAGCAATATACGGAATCCATAGCTTGAGAGCCGGTCACATGATATCCGGCAGAAGCAATTTGGTGGAGTGGAACCTGTTTGATTCCTTAACCTCAAAGTCGGGGTTTCAATCCCTCATTGTGCATTTCGCTTGCGTCCTTGAGCAAGACATTTGACATTGCTTCAGTCCACCAAGCTGTATCAATGGGTACCTGCTAATTGCTGGATCTAGCCTTTGATGGAACAGTCTCACATTCTGGGGCTATGACACTCTCATCTACTTCGCGTTACTAAAACTGGGGATAAGCTCCAACCCCTATGGCTCCTCAAAGTATTGACTTATACATGTTATCCTTAACGCTGTTTTCCACTAGGCAAATTTATTCGTGCGAATCGAAAGCACCGGTTCCTACGCATTTGCTTTTGATTTGCGCGAATAAATTCTCAGGCTTTAGGATTAAGACTGAAGACATGTAAATCAAGTCTAAACTAACAGTTATAACAGGCAATGCACGAACATGAATACTGTAAGGCCAACAGGTAATATAAGTACAAAATGTAGTCAGTAACAAAATTTTGATGAGGTGCAAGTGTTTCAACATAAGATTAGTCTCTTAAGTATTACCTGTTTTAATTTAAAAACAAATAATTATGAAAAAGCATACCATCAGCCTATAATCCAGTGACATTGATTTGGTGTATTTATTGTGTTTAGACGTGTCAGTCGTTTCATTATCAAATCGACTGAAGTCTGCAAAATTGTGCAATGACTTTGGTTCCCCTTTCTCCTCATCATAATCATCTTGCTCCTCTTCATTGTTATCTTCATCAGATGAATTACTGCTGTTGTAGTCACTGGATGAATACAAACTTGAACTATTTCGACTTGAGATAGAATTCTTCTTGTTCTAAAGAACAGAAAAAAAATCAATGTTTGAATTAGAGATATTTTTACTGCTATTAAATGTACTGGATGAATACAGAGTTAAACAACAGCTACTCAAGCAAGTTAATTTTGAAATTGATTTTTTTTGCTATTTTTCAGTGGATCATACATTTTTAATTGGTTCAAAGAGATTTTTTTTGGAGATTTTATGGGAGAGGTGTATCATTATATGAGACAAGAAGAATGATGACCCTTTCCACTAAGCACCGCCCCTCAGATATGAAACAAGCATGTACTATTCTGATTGGTCAGTTAAGTTTGATAGTCATTCCGTAAAGGTCCATTCTCATATACTTGTTTTGCTTACCTCTGTTGGCCTAGGGGGTATCTGTGGTGGGGACATTACCGCATCTCCAGTACTGGCTGACTTACCTAATTGAAAAGAAAAGAATGATACTCAAACGATGTCTATTTTATCCAACACTTATATATATGCTGTAAAACAAATCTGAAACTTGGATCGGGGAAAAAATTAGAGAATGAATAAAAATAACATATGATTATCATATTATCATATATCCACAAAACAAGCATGAAACTTTTAATTAATGTTTCTATTCCCACATTTTAACATTATGTTAACAATATATATGTTGATAAAATACACATTCTACTCTGGTGTTGAACTTCCGCTCTATGTGCAATTCACCGTAAAATATCTATATTTCCAGTACACAATTGTTGTCAATATGTTTGAACTATAGAATTGAAATGCAAACATAAAGAGACCATACACCAGTGATCCTGAATAAGAATATACCATTTATCATGTAAATTCAAAACGTTTACAAACTTGATACATTTAATATTCCGTAAACCTTTGGTTCATTTTAGAAACTGAACAGTTATTAATCAGAATACAAACAGCAAACAATAAGAACATCTACACAAAATATATTTATAAAATATAAATCAATTGTTTTTAAAAATCTAACATTGCAATGAATGTCAACATATTATACACAAGAAGACAATATATATCTTAATGAAATTGGCCTCAACACCTTAACCTCTAAAGAACAGTATTTTTTGTATCCTAACTTCACAATTAAATTTAGTCAAATCTCATGTTAAGTGGTACTGTCATTTAACCATACTCAATTTGACTTGAATACACACCTTCTCTGATTACTATTAGTATAAGCATTTGCGCATGATGGCTATTTGTACGACTTTTTATGACACAGTAACAAGTTCTCTGAATGATAATTAACAGAGAGAAATCCAGCGGTTAATCGTTGATATAAATAAGCCTAAAACACCATATACGAGAAGTATGCATGTCACCCAAAAGCCCAGAGATCCAGAAGTAGAGAATGCTACAAATGATTCTCGCAATATGCATATCGATAATTACGATTTTCTTGAACTGTGTGTTTACTGAAAACTTAAAATGTTGTTATTCACTTGTTTCAACCCCAAACCTCAAAACATGAAAAAAAAAAAACTTATTATACGAATGAGTGAGAATATGATCTTACCATGACTGGGTCTAGCGCTATGACCTACAGTTGCAGACCTAACAAGGCCTGGCTTGTTCTGCTTACGAATCTGGGAGTCTGTTGTCACTCGAGGGGGCACCTTTACAGGGGCAGCTTTAGGTGGTACCGGGGGTATTGTAGGCTGCTGGGAATGAGCTGCCATCTTTTGAGGATTGTGACTGGCGATTTCTGTAGGGACAGGGACGGGATCTGAACGTGGCAATTGAGAACTAGGTTCTGTCCTAGGATTTGGCCTAAAATCGTGATTAGGGTGTGGCCGAGGTGGATCGGGCCTAGGTTCTTGCTTAGGGTCTGGTCTAGTTTCAACATTGGAATTTGAGTCAGTAAAAGCAGACTCAGCATGGGCTTCCCCACTTGTGTTGTTATCCGTAACATTATTTATGGACTGGGAATCTATTTGCGACTCAATATCTAGAGCACCTTCCCAAGATTGTCTATTCATATCGTAACGTTTTTGTTGGAATTTGGCCCTCTTCAAGTACGCAATGGCAGCTGGTTGTTGAATGTGTTTGGTTCGTATTCCTCCACTCGAATAAGACCTGTGGAGTTGGTTGCAAAGTTTCATTTAGACAACATTTATCTAATGAAATTATATTAAACATGAGTTTTATATAGTTATATACTGTAATAATACACTATTAATACTAAAATTAGTATACTAAGCACAAACAGCATATGTATTATTCTTGAGGATTATACAATTACAATAGTTTATCAAGAAACTAAATTCTGTGACATGCAACTACATATTTAGATTTATATAACATTTATTATTACAAAAATATTAATACTATAGAATATACAGTATATAGTATTATGCCTAAATACACATTCATGCAGTTAATGAGCTATAAATTAATTATGCTTCTATTTGAAATGCTAATAAGTTAATTAAAAAAAGTTGCTATTCTAACACAATACAGTATAATGACATTGACTATTACTAAATTAAACCTAAAAACATTTATAAATTTGATTGATCTTCAATGAGAAAGCACTTAAAACAGGTACATAATTATACTACCTGCTTTAAAGAAACTAGTAAAAAAGGTTATAGTATCTATAACTTTTTTAATGTTATTCATCAGTAATTTTATTTTTATGTTTACCTTTAAGTACATAACTTCATAATTTAAAAGGCAAAACATTTTAAAGAAAATTGGGCAATACTTCCTGCAGTGACCTTTTTCTATATTTCTTATGAACTGTATTTTATCTATTTTGTCTTGTATTTTTATTTATAGAAATAAAGGCTACGTAAATCATAAAATTTACTTTACTTCCAAAAGGTGATGTCCAAAAATACTTGCTTAATATAAAAAAAACTTTTGCGCCACTCAAACATCTTTTCAGATTTTACTTGGACCAATTAATGTAATATCTTACAGGTTGCTGATTTTCTTAAACCATGCTTTTTAACACTGTTATTAATTCATAAATTATGTGACTGGTTTTGGTAAAAGTCACAGGAATTATTATATGCTAGTGGTGCCTAAGTGGTGGCAAAAGCATCTTGTGGCAAGGTTCCAGAATCATTATTATTATTATTAATTTTCACAGTTATTCTACATTTTATTAAATTTGGTAGCTTCATAAACAATTCATTTTCTTCTTAATATTTTCAAGAGTTTGGATTTCTAATGAATATTTCATTTGAGTTGGTTAGTAGGTATTTAGTAGACTACACACTAGGAACACATTGAAAACACTCACAAAATAATAAGGCAGATAACATAAAAATTAAGCAGAAAATCAAAATTAAACAAATTATACAATTTCCTTAAAACTGGAACAGCTTTTTAAGATTTGCCAACTTGTCAGTCAACAGCATTATGCGGTTTAAATGCATATACTGTATGTTAAGCTGATCACACACTGTAGTGACAACTGAGTGTATGCATGATTCTATGGAGAGCGCGACATGAAAGGTTAAAGGTTATTCATTTATATTGCACAAATACAAGAGTCTCTATGTGCAAAACAAGTGAGAGGATGTAATTGAAAAAAAAGAAAAGAAAAAGAAGAACTCCAAGCCAGCACCAACCCGCAGTATGGGGACATGCCCTCGTCGCCGAGGAGGAGTGAGCAATGTGAAGAGATGCACGCAACAAATTATTTTAAATGGCAATCCGCATAGTCTGCCTTTGACAATGGACCTTTCCACTAAGCCCCGCCCCTTGGATATTGTTGCTAAGTTCCCACAAGGCGACAGTGTTAAAACATACGCAAACATGTGCGTTTGTGGGACAACACGTGTGTTTGTGAGACGCGCGCGTATCCCTATCGCTGTTCTGATTAGTCAGTCGTTAAGTTTGATTGACACTCCGGAAAGGTCTATTAACAGACGATGTTGCCTTGTCTAGTGTTCACAAAGAGCAGAAAGAGATGGATTCGTAGACTTACATTCATACCACAGTCGTAAAAGCCAGTGTGTGCTTAGCTTAAGTATGCTGCTGTTGTCATCATTCAAAAGCTGAGACAATTTGAGGAAGTATGAGATGGTTGAACATTTTGTTATATGGTAGACAATACATTGAAAGAGAAACTTTGTGAACGTAAACAGAAACAACTAGTAGTAAATGGCCATTTGAGATATGGAGTCCTATTCCACAAAACAAAACAAAAATACTACACAGTCGAACAGGAAATATAAATCATTAGTAGAATCAGAACTTGAACTGCACACAATAAAAAAGAGGCAATAATTAAAAGGCCATTGCTATTTTGAATGCACAAACCTAAATCAACCAATGAAATTCTCTCACTGTACACCAATACTCCAAAACTGATGATAATTATTGCCAAAATGTTCACTCAATTTTTATGATTTGATCCCAAAATAATAAGAAAACTCTAAATAAATTATTTATTGAAAAATTTAAGATTTCCAAAATTCTTATCAATCTAATAATTATTCATTTTAACAAAAAAAAATATAAGAAACTATTTATTTTCTTTAAATATTTTGGTGCTTTTAAACATTAATTTTGATTTTTTTAATATTTTGTTATATGGGCACTGATTGGTTCACTGGCTAACTGATTTGATACATAAATTCAGTCAGAACAACTGATGGTTAATTAGCATGATATCACGTCACACACACCGTGTTTATTTGAATAAATGACCCAGGGCGTTTATTGTTGAGAAGGATTTCTGAAGGGGAATTACTTCAAAGGAGGTGTAAAATGGATATGCATATACTCAAATATACACCTCTTAATTTCACTGTAAATGTGAAACTACTGTACAACACATATTACACTGTTAAAATGTGCCATTACATGATGAAGACTTACTGATCCCAACCCGGTTACAAAAAATGTAATTCTACTGGAGTAAAACATGAATAGAATGTGTTGAGAATGATGCTGCTTCCATTTGTTTAGTCATATTTGGGAGTTTATTCAAGGAAAAAAAAACTCCTGGTATTTATTCAAGGGAGTGGCTTATGTCAAATGAGGCTCTAGAGGGGGAATTTATTCAAGGTGGGATGGGGGGGGGGGAGAGATGGGGCGTTTATTCAAAGCGGGACGTTTTTTTTGGAATAAATATGGGTATTTGTCACAGAAAACGTTATAGTGTCAACACACCTTTGAATTTTTAAATTTTCCCAATGTATTCTTCATCAGTTTTGGAGTGAATTATTTCCCAAAAGCAAAATATTACTACAACATTAGAGAAACTGACAATGCCAAGAGGGCAGACAGTAACATACCTTTGTAAGCCTCGTCTAAGTGAGGAGATAAAATTAATAAAACAAATCAAAAAAGGAAACAAAACAAAACACTCAAATAAAATCAATTAAAAACTGTAAAAATGAATAGCAATTATTAATATTGAGAATTGTGAACACTATTAATTATGGTATCTAAATGTGATAATTATGATTATTATATTATAGTAGCATTATTACTTTTTGTTCAACATTAACAATGTTAATAATAAAAGTAATAAGATCAATTATAATTTACAATATTTAAATCAATAAAAAGTGTGTATATGTATAAATATATGTAGATAGTATATAAATGTGTAGATAGTATATAAATATTTTTAAATGTTGGTATGTGTACCAAATTTGATGTTTTTAGACATTGAATAAACTATAAATTATGAGTTGGCTGGGTATGTGTATATTCTATAATGATTATATTATTGTTGATTGATATTAAATTAACAAACCTCATTTATAAATACAGATAGTAATCATAGTGTAATAACTTGAACATAAGTTTCATGCAAAAACGTGAAGGAGGATTTACCTAGGCCTGTGACGAGAGATGAGGCCTTTAGCATTATCTCCTAGGTCAATTGTGGGTGCTGAGGCTGCAAGTTCAAAGGTTAATAGGGTCAACACACATACTACAAAACAAGGTCATGCTAATGTGCACTCTGCTACTAGTATTACTTATATTAATTAGTTACAAATTACTATTAATTGGTTTTATTATTTTTATTCCATGTTTTACCCTACATAATTAATAACTTATAGTTGATTAGTTTATTTAGAATAGGATAACACTGCAACTATTCTACAGCATGCATACTAACATAAACAGTTCCTATAATATTAAACTATCACGATGAATATGTTACTGGTATTCAAAAGTGAGATCAGCATACATGGTAACTAGTACTACACAAACTGTACTACCCTAAGTTAAATCTAGCTCCAGCCATCTACTAAACTAAAGACGATTGATCACAAAAGTCTAAAGCTCTGCTCACACAATTAAACTTAAGTGACAAATACCTATGATTTCCCATATACTGCAATATGACACCATCATACCCATATATGGATTCAATATGACACCATATCATCATGTCCATATAAGGGTTCAATGACATCATACCCATATAAGGGTTCAATATGACATCATCATGGCCATATATGGGTTCAATATGACATCATCATACTAATATGGGTTCAATATGACATCATCATGCCAATATATTGGTTTAATATGACATCATCATGCCAATATATGGGTTCAATGACATCATCACGCCCATATAAGGGTTCAAAATGACATTATCATGCCCAAATAAGGGTTCAATATGACATCATCATGCCCATATAAGGGTTCAATATATCACCATGCTCATATATGGGTTCAATATGACATTATCACACCCATAAAAGGATTCAATAAGACATCATCATGCCCATATATGGGTTCAATATGACATCTTCATGCCCATATAAGGGTTCAATATAATATCACCATGCCCATATATGGGTTCAATATGACATCATCATTCTCATATGGACAAGTCACATAAATTTGTCACATAAAACTATAAATAAGTGTATTACAAACATAATCTACTATATTTTTATCTGTCAGATACAAAATATTTGATCACATTTTGTTGAAATAAATAGTGTATGGCTGTTTCATACATATCTGCTCAAACAAATCTTGTCTGAAGTTGAACATGCTGAGTCTGATCAAATATCATCTGTTGGAGTCTGACATACAAAAAACTTTATGAAATAGTTTATTAAGGCTATTTCATTTATATGTACACAGATCTTAAAAATATATCCCATTTAAATATATATACTATTACTGTACTACCAACAAAACATTTCTTTAAACCAATGTTGATTCACTTCTGTACAAAAGTCAACACATTTTTTGTAATTGTGGTACAGAGATGTAGTTACGGTGGGTGGAGCAACCCAGACTTGGAAGTTTTCCATCCGGTCTAAAAGTTAATTTCATGGCCCTCCGCCCTCCTTTATTAACCTCTTGCCATCCTTAAAATTCACTCTTATTATTTTGCCAATGTTATCACCCACCCACCTTTAAAATGTCTACCACCCACGTTTAGTTTTCTACAGCTACAACCCTGTTGTATCAAATTGCTAGATATTAAACCACCAGAGCAGTCAACATAAGTTGGGAGATGATATTGCTATACTAATGCTCACCACAAATGAAAAGAGCAGGCCTTCGAATTCATACATGTTAGCCAATCAGAAATGGCTGAGTTTTGTACTACATAATACCAAGGCAATTCAACAGAAGGACGCACATATCGGGACATCAAAGGTTATAACTCTGGCATCGACATTCTAGGCGCACGTGCGTCCCTACACGCTGAACGTCACAAAAACCATAGCAACCAGACCATAAACCGTTAGCGTACGTGACAAATTACCCACGCGCGTGTTAGTTGCCATGATAATCGCGCATCATGCGGTGATTACAAAGGCCTAATGATAATTTTGCACTAACATTAGTCTGAAATATATTCTTCATTTCAACATTAATTTTACCAAAATTGTGGTGAATTGTCGTTCATGAGACTCACTTTGCAGAAAAAATTAATAAATGTTCTGTATATACTCAAATGTTTGTTTTCGGCACCTAATGCCAACATTGTCAAAATGACGGATTAATGTTACATAAGAACAAGAAATTTTATAAAATTTGTAAATTTTAAATTGCTATAACTTTTCATTTTCTTGGTCAATTTTCACAAATCAAATTGCAGTTTATAGAAGCATTTAACAAGTTCGCGGTAAAAAAAAATCAGATGTAACAGGCATTGCGAAGTACCCAAAATTAATTAAATAAAAACTAACACCATAAAACGAATGGCACGCAGAGACTAATAATTGACGGCTGTACTCACAACTAGTATCGGATTGTCGATGCCACAGTAAAGATCAAAGGACTCTACGCACGAGCGGAGTTCGAGAGCGGAGATGTGCGTCCTTCTGTTGAATTACCTTGATAATACCATTGCACTATTTCAGTTCATGTTGGTCTAGCCTCACTATACCCATCGTAAAGGTCCATGGTATAAGCATTCATACAGTACAGTACTGCTTACCATGCAAAGTACCCAAGTTATCCATGTCCTCAACTGCTTACAAATGTTGAATATGAAACCAAAATGACTACAATTAAACTTGCCTAAGTCGACTTTGCCTGACTCGAATAATTTCTAAGTTGATCTTATTTTACATGCCAAATTGTTGTGTTTTTACTTAAATAACCATCTGTAAGTCGAATTTTATCTTAGTCAAACAATTTTTCAATGCCATTTTGGATTCAACTTACACAAGTTTAACTGTACACACATGCGTTTCACCATATACACTTTTTTTTTATACATTTTCAAAAATGTTTAAATATAATGTTAGGAAATTGCGTACACACTAAATGCAAGCCAACATATGTTCTTGTATTGTCAAAATCCTAAAAGATTATTGAGGCAAACCCTACAGCCAAGTTGCTAGCTTTTAAATATATTAAGGAAAAAGTCAAGGACACTTTACGATCAGCTGTAGAAATATAAAAGCAATGTGAACATTAACATGAATAAAAAAGTAATAAACGAATAAGCATGTTAACAAATTTACTACCTGTAAATCGAGAAAAAGAGGAAAGACATTAAGAAAAATATCTGATTCAAAGAAAAAAAAAAGCATTAGGCTATTTATGTTGTTAAGTCATAATAAGACAAAATTTATTCTGTAGCAAAATACAAAAAAAGAGTATTAAATCATGGATCAAATAATACGATTGCAAGATTGCTGCTAAATGAAGGGGTTGCTTGCATGTTATCACCAACTTTGCCAGCCTCCAAATATGTAATGAAGTAGAAAGTAAGAATACTGGAATTTGAATTTCTAGTAATGTTAAACAAAACAAAAAAAATGGTGATATTTTGGATACTGTACTTCTAGTGAAATGAGAGGTACAGGAAAACCATACAGAAATTTGAAAAGAAAAAAATATTATTAATTGGGAAATAGACACACAAAATCAACAATCAATCTTCTATTAACTGTTATTTTTATCTTGAATAATAATCAACTATCATTTAAATAACAAAAGTAAATTAGTAAACAAAGGTCAACATCTTCTGAACCCAGCCAATACTTAGTCCATGAAACCTGCTGAAGGCTGAAGCAAAATTCTGTTTACTTGCTTCACTTGCAAAAAAATCCCACTCCAGGTGTAAAGATAACATGATTAATTTCACCAAGCTACTAATAATGAACTAAAAAAAAAAACTACAAAAAAAAAAAAAAAAAAAGAAACTACACCTATTTTATTAACAATCATTAGTTTGATCAGCTTAACTTCTGACTCAAGGTCAAACAAGGCCCTTGATATAGGGCTCCAAGATATTTCCTAAAAAAACACACTTTCAAGAATTGAAGAAACTCCATAATTCCTGTATAATTACGTGTGCATTTTAGTGACTATCACATGACCCATCATAAAAGATGATGCACCCTATAAAATCAATAGTTACCTTTTCTTTCAACTGGTGGTGGTGGCGCTATTCTTGCTGGCGTGTTACCGGCTGAGTCTGGCAAGGTGGACGACCTCTGTTTGGCTGGTATTAAATGCTCCTCATCATCAGGTGTGGTAACAGATCCTGGATCTAAACAACAAATAGAGATGAATTCAAATTTCTATACTTTTACAATCTAATCTAATAGTAAAATTGACCTGCCAATAACTGAAAGTGAAGTTTAAAGGCCGTTTTCCACTAGGTGAATTTATTCGCGCGAATCGAAAATTACACATGCGCATTTGAGAATTTTGTGATGAAAACTAAGCTGGGCATGCGTATAGGCAAAATTTGTCTACTGGAAAACGGCCTAAAGTGATCAACGTAGACACTACAGGGGTCCCAAGTTGAAAGAATCCACACTGGGAGATCTATTTAATGGAGCTTTCTTCTTAACATATCTAATTGCATTTTCCTGTGCATCGGTACTGACTTCCAGACGACAATTGACAATACAGTAGTAAAAACATGAAAATATCGTGAATATGTGGGAGATGGGTTGTTTTCCTTTAGGTGAGAGGCCTTCCCGGCTTCCGGGAGACATGGGTCATCTGCAGCAGTGATGTCAAAAATTTGCCGATAAGAGGTCCGATGTGTCTGACGGAGGGGTCAGAGCCAAGGGGCCGACGAAGCCTCAGTCAACGGTCTAGAATAAAATCTCTCTTGTTAGTGTCACTGGTCCCCTTGACAGTATATATTTAGAATTCATTCAACTGTGTACAAGAATGCTTAAACAAAATTTACCATAAAATGTTTACAACACTTACCTGAATATTTCCGATCCCTGGGGGGATCAGATGGCAAGATAGCACATGTCTGGCCATCAGGGGCCAATTTCAATGGTATTGGTTGAACAATCTTACTTTCCTAAAACAAAGAAGGAAACACAAATTTCAACATTTGTAGTATTAAACCAAGATAGAAATAATAATAACAAGTAATCAATTGTACAAATAAACTAATAGGTAGTTGCACTTAAACTGTGTCCACCATATTAAATTTTCCGTGATAAACATCTCTGATTTGCCCTTTTATAAGCATGGTGATATCATATCACACGATATATGGGCATGATGATGTCATATCACACCATATATGGGCAAATCACATGTACTGATCACATAAAACTTGATAGAGTGGACAGAACTTAGTAAAGGCTAGAAGCTGAGATTTACAGGAATAAACAACAGAAATCTGCATCACAATGACATTAAAATGCAGGTGTTTTTGCCAGACATGAATAAACACGTTTATTTAAAAATCAAATTGCTAGTGATTCTGGTAAGATTCAAGCCCACAAATTAGCTGGCGTCTTAACACATTCCCAAGAAGTTTTTGTGATGTCAAGAGTTAGATTAAAGTCCAACGACAGCATATTGCAAAGCAATAAATATTTATGAAAACTTTGCACTCAGTCTTTGGGCAAAAAACACTTTTTTTTCCTTAAAAGCATAGCATGCTAGCACCTAGGAAAATATGACTTAGCGGTCATTTTTCAACATTAACAAAATTTTCACAAGTTTACAAACAGTACGCTAGGGGGAGAGGGGATAAACAAATTTGGACACTCTTACATATGCACTCAACATATAATATGCAAAATAATGGTAAAATTATAATGTAACCATGGATATAATTCATTTTTAAGCAACCAAATACATTGCATTTGTTGACTTCACAAAAAAAAATGGAGAATGGTTTTGCAAAATCAACATCTTTTTGTACACTTTCAGAGGGGAGGGAGGGGTACCGAAAAAGAGTACTGTCTGTACACTTGTGAAAAAGTTGATAATTGTGAACGACCCCTTACGCAGTCATAAAATCAACAGTGAGGTGTTCATATATAACATTACTAATGATATTCAAATATAGAAACGTACATAAATGATTTCTACCACATGCTATTTGCTAATGCCCTGTTCACACTTAAATTTTATTTGACAATAACATGTGAAATGCCTAAATATGGTCATGATGACATCATATCATGACCATATATGGGCACATCATGACTATATATGGGCACATCATGACTATATATGGGCATATCATGACTATATAAGCACATCATGACCATATATAGACACATCATGACTATATATGGACATATCATAGTTTTTTGGTCAAAGAAAATTTGGTAGTCTGGACAGGACTTAAAAAAGTATAAAACATAAACAAACTACTAAAAATAAAACAAAACCATTAACATAATTTTAAATAATATTAATTAAACCAAGAAATTTATTTTATGAAAGTTTGACCACAATGAAAATGAAACATTTTTTTCACTTAGCAAGGCATGCTGGAAAAAAAAAGTTAAAATAATGTATTTTTAGGGCAATGAATATTAAATTTAATATTAATAGTAATTTGTATTATTTAAAAATTTGTTGAAACTGAAATAAAAAATTACTAATAAAGCAAATGTATAGAGTAATACTATTTACATTTACAACGTTAATATAAAAATTATTAATAAGCATATTATTATTTTGATTTGTGCTTACTGGATCTGGCGAGATAGAAGCAAAATCAAAGTTGGCAGGTCCTTCCGTAGAAGGTGAAGGTCCGGGGAATGGTGAGTCAGAAAACTTGGCCCAATTCTGTGCAATGTAAAACAAATAAATGCAAAGATATAGCCAAAATCATAACAAAATAAAACCTGTTACTGTTTACGCCGTGCATATGAAATTCATGTTGAGTGATTCTGCTAAAAGCGGAAATTAAGTAAGCATTTGGGCTTGCCTTATTGAAAAAAATTCATAATAATAATAATAATAATCATGATGGCAATGATATGACAAACCAACTATAACAATAACAAAAATTTGGACAAAAATAGTAACACTAATAACAACAAACAATAATCATGAACATCAAAACCAATTGGAAATTTAACAATAACATTTTTTATTAACAATAATATTTTTATGAATGTCTTTTTATAATTAATTATTTTAAAAATAATAACAGCAATTAGTATGAAAAAATGCAATGTAATTATTCTAAGAACTAAAATATCTAATATAAACGTAAGTATTTATACTATGAGATATTGGTTATTTAATGGTATACTGATGGTAAAAACCATTTTGGGTGTGTACTCTCAATGAAGTGGTGTGACGTTTATTTGAAATAAAATAGATCTAATAATCACTGCAATGGTTATTCAAAAGCCCTGTTTAAAAAAAACGTAACCATATTTGGCGCAGAGCAGCTTTTTTGAAGCCAGCATTTATTAAATCTTATGCAGTGTACACATGCATACACATAGCATGGGTATTGTACAATTCCTAAGAAACAGAATACTCTATGCACAAGAACTAATAAAAATATTCATAAGAATAAAAGGTGAGCCATTTTTTTTTTATTCATACCTTGTTTCGCAAACTTATTTTTTAAAAGATTGTCAGGGGATGGTTAAACTTAAATGCTTAGGAATAAATATACGTCTTATTCTTTGAAAAATCCAAGGCACAGGTAGGCGTAATAAAAATATAGAAAAACTATTTTTTTCTGAAATTTCTATTTTTCCGTGGTGGCATGTACGCTAATTAGCCAAAAAAAAAAATTTATTTTTATTCGAAATTATCAATATTTGAGGGCAACAGGTTTGCTAAACAAGGTATAACAAATTCTTTCCTAATGATAACATGAATATCAAAATGTCTCATACGAAAAATTTGCATATTAATCAATTCCATGCCTAATTTGAATATTAGTTTTCCATCCATTGCAAATTTGAATTTTGAAACCAGGTGTAATAATCTGCTACCCAAAAACCCATTATTGAAACTACAAACAACAAAGTATAAAAACAAAACATTAATCAAACTAATATTTACCTCTCCTGCTTTCATTCTTGACTTGGGGGATGAATCTACACCCAAACCAGGAGGGGTCACGCTCCTATTAGTAACATCAGGGGGTGCAGGTGCAACTTTTTTTGTTGTTGCTACGCTCTTTACAACTTCAACTAAAAAAAAAAGACAATAATTTTCAGTAATCTACTCACTAGGTCCCATAATGCAGATGAATAAAACTTCTACATAATGAAAATGAAAAATCAACCGGAGAGTTATTAAACACAAAGTGAAAAACACAATAAAAGACTTGTTAAATCTCTCTCAGCATGTACTGTTCAGAATGACCCATCATTTAGGCCTCTGTTAGATGTAAACATTTTGAACATAATTTAGCCTCCTACTTGCAGTAGTACTGTTGAGAGCAGTGCACATTATATATACTTCCATGAAACCACTCCTTCTAATTTAAGATTACAAGGAAACGATAGAAATACAGGATATGTAGCTCAGTCTTAGGATATTGTCGAAAAACAAGGAAGTTCCTATGCTGCCGATTATAAAGTTGCCCAAGGAAATTTCATAAATCTGTTATTCTTAGATTACACTAATAAAATAATAATGATCACATTTGGATGTTTCCTTTATTTGTATTTTATTGCAAACCAAATTTCTTTCCGTTTTTTTTGCGCTTGTGCAATATCAAATTTTTCTTATGTTTGTGTTTTTTTGTTTTTTTATAAATAAATAATTAAATTAATGAATGATTGCAATTACAATTTTAATAATTATAATGATTTTCACATTTTTATTTTTCTATTAATGAATGTTTTTTATTGTCCAGTGAATTTTTGCCTTTTTAAGTATTAGTATTTTTAATATGAATTGTTGTTGTTTGTTAATATAACGCAATTTAGTCCTTATTACTGCAATGTTACATTTGGCAATTATTTTTTAACCTTTGTATTGTTTCTATTTGTATGCTTGTTTTGAAGTTTTAATAAAATATACCATCAGAATGAATGAACAAATTGAAAAGAATTAAATATTATTTTCTTGGAAGGTCCTGTTTTAAAGTTGGATTGTTCAGAATCTTATTCCCAGGTTATATATGTAAGCACATTGGCCAAGGACTGTAAATATATCACTCCTGTACATCCAGAAAGTGTTGGATAGTAAATTCTGACAATGGACAAGTCTAGATCTAAGACACAGTCATGTACGATATCGCTGCCAATCATAAGGCACAGGTACACAAGGGTGAGTTACATCAATGCAATACAACAAGTAATGAGTCACTTCCATACTGCTATTGCTATCTAGTTCCCTAGTTCAATTCCCATCGCTGCCTCTCCTTGTGTTTCAGCTGGAGCGCTGAAATACAAGTTACAATAGTACACCATCTTTCGGATGAGATGTTTAAGCCATTGGTCCCGTTTGCATTTATGGCCCATGTGCACGTTAAACAATGCAGTACACTTTTCGGAAAAGAATAGGGGATTGTCTCCTGGTGCACTGTACTGCCAATCACCACCAGAAGGACCCCACTGGAAATAAGCCTTCTTCTAGACCTTCGTGGGCTATCCTTGGTGTTTACATCGAATAAATCTAAGCATCCAAACTGTAATCAGAGTCTTGGATATAAATTTTGATGGGGAAAATATATTGTTCTTGAAAGTAAATTAAAGAAGAATACAAAGAGACTTTATTCATCCCACTAAAGGAAAATTTCATGGCTGAATATAGCAAATACAATATAACAAAAAGCATTAAACAATTAACTGATAAGAATATAATAATGATAATAATAATAATAATAATAATAATAACAATAATAATAATAATAATAATAAAATAAAAATAATAATAAAATAATAACAATAATTAATATAGTAATAATAGTTATGATAATATTGCCTTTTTAATAATTCTTTTATATATTTGAATAATAAACACTACTGTTACCTTCCTCTACATCCTCTACTAAGCCTTCGTCCATTTTTGGAACTAAGCACGGAGGTAGTTTGTCAGGTAACTCATACTTGTGTTTCCTCAAAACGGACAAATGCATTGCAGTGCAAAATTCTTCTAGGCAGAGGGCGCCATCTTTGTTTACATCTGAAAGTTGCCTACAAAAAAAATAATTTAGCAGTGATAGCAACCAGTCAGTGTACCATTAATAAGAAAAACTATTTTAGAAAGAGCTTTAAAATACTAAATGAATAAAAAAAAAAAAAAAATTGAATTTTTAAAATGCAAGAAAGCAGCTATAATTTTGGAGGAAAATGATTGTAAAAAAAAAAAAGTAATAAATGTTAATTTTTATAGAAAATATTTGGAACTTACCATATTTTAGAAAGCTCTGTTGTGGGTAATTTCGATTTTTCAAAAAATTGTTTGGCTTCAGCTCCTGTAAAATAAAGTTGCTTGTGTAAGATGATGAAACAATCTAAAGGTTCTCAAATTTATATTCTTTGTAAACAATTTTTTTCAGAAAAAAAATAAGACTATGTTAACCATTACTCTGGAAGGAAAATTGGTTGAGAAAGAATATGGAGGAGGTCACTGATCTCTACTATAATAGCTGGATTGCTCATTGGCCAATCCTTGTACAGAAAAAAGTGAGGCCTCCGACACTATGTTGGAGGGCCTAAGTGAAGTAAATAGTGAAGTTTATACATTAATAACAAGTTATATATTTATGAAGCAAAGAGATAAATAAAAAATTATTTAATTTTACATTTGAACTTGATCTACTTTACCAATTCAATTGGTTTAACATTTTAATCAACGGGTAAATAGTGTTCTCTCAGCTTTTTTATTATATATATACACTAATGTATGAGTTACCTTGGATTAAACCAGATAGATCTGGCTGAAGGGTTCTGAATTGATCCGAATAATATTGCCTTTGTTCATCTGATATCTGCCACACATTCTCTTGTCCATTTTGTTCACCCGCGTCTTTTATGCCGTCGGAAATTTCAGAGATGACATTTTGACTGTTGTCCACCTTTGCCGGGAGGATACCCTCAGCTGATACAATATTGTCGGCAGCCACAGGTGGGTGGGAAAAGTTTGCCCAGCCCCCTTCTGGTCTTACAGGGAAGCTAGCTTGGCGGTCAACTACCTTCCTAGCACAGTGGGCCGGTGCGGGGACACTTGGCATCCGGTCCATGGTCTTGCTACGGGGTGATACTACCTTGGTTTCCTCTAGCAAAGGCGGTGTGGTGGATGGTGAATTTTCGTTTGAGCCAGAGCCCTACAAGGAGAAAGCAAAACAAAATACATTTGCTTCACTATAAACTATCTGTGTGTAATAAATTATAATATAGAAAATAAATTCATTATCATCTTGATATCTTTATTCACAGCAAAAATATACATAAAACAGTTCATCACAGTTGAAAGTATATTAATATAAAAATTACAAGACTTACAAAAAAAAAATTAAAAACACAAAACTATCACAGAAATGTACAAACAGAAACTGATTACTTTCACGAAAATTATACTTGATATCAAAAGGTTAAATAATGAACAAAACTCAATTACAACATAAAAAAAAAGTGCAAATCACATGAAAAAGCTACAAATTACGCAAAAAACCAAGTCTGGAAACAAGAAAACAAAGGAACAAGACAATTGGAACTTCAGAGCAAATGAAAGGTACATACAGGGCCCAGGACATGCATGCGACACCACCCACCAATCCAAACCCCCTTCCCACCAAATTCAAACCATAAATACACACCCAGACTCACAAAATGCACACACTTGACTCACAAGCATACATGTGGGGATACAATCATTTTTTTTTTTAGCTCCGATGAGGAGTCCTAGGTGTAGTACCCTGCGGATTGATTGATTGATTAACAGAACTTTTTTTGTACGGGCGGCTGTTAGGGCCACTAGAATCACTTGGCTGATTGATTAATAGATCCTTTATGTATGGGTGGCCGTTAGGGCCACTAGAATCTCATCGTTACTGTAGGCATATGAAAAGATTCATATTGTTTTGTTTCATACTGCATTAAATATTGTGAATGAGCACCTAAGCACCAAGTTAACAAATTTCACATTAAAGAAATGATTTCTAATTAATCTAAATTAATTATTTAATCTAATCGATTAACTTATTTATATATGTTCTCATTTGGGCCTCATACACAGCAGATAAGAAATCCAAAAATAATAAAATACATTAGCATTTTATAACTAGAGCAGTCCCTCCATAGAGTGCATACCCCTGCCCTGTGCCTGAATACCAACAATAAGCAGGCCGTGTATGATGGGCAAAACTGCAGCATACCCTCAAGGAAATAATGGAATCACACATTGTATTCAGGCACATTGTTTTCTTGAGTGTTGCCTGAAAACCAATGATCTTACAATAATAAGATAGCGTTCTCCACAGTTGGCGTGTAACAGATAGAAGCGTCCAATTCACGCAAAAAACAATAGAAAGTAATTGTAATTGACAGAAGGCATCCTAGCTGTTACTATGGAGGTTGTTCCAGAATTTGCACAAAGATCATAGATGTCAAAGTTCAAGAGTAATTGCAATTGCAAGAGACCGTCCTACACTGCATTATTACAGAATTTACACGCAGAAATCGCAGAGAACGCTATCTTGTAATTATAAGATCTTTGCTGAAATCTAGGAGCTATTCGAGTATTTTCTTTTATGCTCGAGAGTAAAATATTTAATATCTGTAACTTTGACCTTGTACTTTGAACTTTCTTTTCAATTTGTAATTGATGGCGACCAATAAATTATAAAACAAAGTACTAACTGTTGCAGCAGGTATCCTTGTCTGTAGCATGCCAGGTAGGCCTCCGCTACTTGCATTTCTTACATGACTTTTACTCGGAGGTGCTGGTAAGCCACCAAACTGCCCTGGTTGCCTACAATAGAAATAAAACAAGCAGTTGTTATCATGACAACAAAAAAAAAAACTTTGGTAAAAATGCTGGTGCAGTAGTGATACAGTGTACAATAAATCCCATACACTAAGTTTTGAATAACTTTAATGGTCTAGGGATTAACCTAATTGTGTTTCTACTGTATTGTTGTTTTTTTTTAAATCCTGTCAAAGAAGATGATTTTCATTTTATGATTTCATAGTGGTATTATACTTCTTTGGCAACTTCATTGGTTGCTGGTTAGAAAGAGATTTTTTTTTTTTTTGCACATTTTCCATCACACTTTGTTCAATTAATCTTTAAAACAGTACTCCTACAACAATATCTCCATGGTCATAATTTCTGTTTATCTGGTGGTTCCTTTTGGCTTTATGTACTTCTGTCTAATAATTGCTTTACCTAGGCTTTGGAATAGCCTTCCCAGTGATTTACAAAAACGTTCTTGTTATCTTGGTAGATCTCGTTGAGCTGTCCAATTTTTCTGTTTTTATTGTCCGATATTTGTTTCATCTGCTGTCATTGTACTCAGGCGGGTTCAAGATTATCACAGAGAATCCATCCAACTAAATCAGATATCTATGGAAGAATCCTGCCAATCTCAACTATCATGGCTAACAGATGCACTTGCTTCGCTGGACACTGCCTCAGGGATGAGCATCAGATGATTTCTGAAATTCTGCTATGGAAGTTGCCATGTTCATTGAGAGAGTGTAGACCACTAACTTATCCCAACACAATTTCAAAGGATACTGGTATTGGAACAGAGGCGCTTGCGCTGGCAATGGCTGGTTGAACGCTGTGGAGTGTCTGAGTGTCATCTATCTCAACTGTGCTGATTTAGATATCAAGTTAATTTTGACATCATTTAAAATCAATATTTGTTTTCAGTTAAGGATCCTCTTCCCATTGATGTTTGTTCGGGCGTAATGTACAAATTTTTCTTGCGGAAGCTGTAATGCTTCCTATATAAGCGAAACTGGTCACCATTTCAAAACACGCCTTAACAAACATTTCAAAACGGACAAAAATTCAAATACATTTAAGCATTTAAATAATTCACATAAATGTAATGATGCTTGTAACGAGTGGGTATTTTATATATATATATATATATATATATATATATATACTTCCTTTATTCTCTTAAGGAGAAACTCTTTTGTCTATGATTTCGCCTTATCGCCGTTTAAGTTTCCCCTTAGCGATACAACTTTCTCCTCAAGGTACTGTTTTTAACCCTCTTCATTGTTTTAGTTTACCCCTATGGATACTTCTAAGCTGTTGTTGTGATGTAATCTATGTTTAATAGACCTAAAATTACAATTTCTGTGATGTAATCTATGTTTAATAGACCTAAAATTACAATTTCAAATAAATAAATAAATAAATTAAAATTACAATTTCAAATAAATATAAATGAAAATGAAATTATAATTTTAGGTCTATTAAACATAGATTACATCACACATTTTAAATGCTGGTATATTTATTATGGTAAAATATTACTTCCTAATTTATATTAAATTAATCAATGAAATTAGTCACTAAGTAAATATTTAAGCACCTGTTCTGTGATTTATCTGCTGGGGCTTCAAATTCTGTAGTGTGGTCCATAAACGCTGGATTGACAAATTCCATCTGTCTCATTTCTAAATAAACAAAAAGGTAGAACATGATACAACATATTAATATCTAGAAATAGACACAATACAGTATATACAGTACAGTACATTAAAATAATCCTTGCATACAGTATCAAATAACAAAGGTATCGCATGATATCAATAATCGAAATATAAACACAATATATTGAATAAAATATACTGTATCTGTTTTCATATTTGTCCAACCTATACTTACAGTATAAAATAACAGATAGATAATTCTATTAATAGTATACAAATAAACATAATATATAAAATGTAACTGTGTTCACATTTTCCCTAACTCCGCACAGTAGAAATAATAAATGTAGAGCATGATTATCTAAAAACAAACACTTATTAATTATATTACTGTATATCGAAACTGTTTTCACAGTTACCTAATCACAGCATACATGAAGAGCATAATAAAAAAAACTAATACAGTATCTAAGTACACAATGCTTTATATTCTTAGCTGCCTTTATATTTGTTTATTCTCTACAGTAACAAACAATTGTCATATTATATTCAGTAGTGCACCAAGCAAATAGGTAACCAAATAGCAGAAAAGCATTTGGCTTTAATGTTGCTTCCCATGGGTATTATATGACCTTACTGCTTAATAGGACATCTTAAGCTGGGCTATATAATAATGTCATATGTAGATATATATGTATATCATGCACTGCTAAATCTTATGCAATATAATGTTTCTACCAGATTTGTATTTCCATAAAGATATACAGTACAGTACAGTACATATTGAGTTAAACTTGAACAATTTCAATTCATTAACATAAATAACTTGAATTAAAGCACTATATATTATATTTTAATCTTTCAGCTAAAAATTACTGTAGTTCTAGAAAACTTTTTTCTCGCCATTGAGAATGCATAAACTAGATTGTCAATATAGTCCGCATGAACACTGCTATAGTAGTAACATTTAGTTTTGAGCTAAATAGTAGCAATAGAATATGTTTTTCGCGCCATTGAGAAATGCATTTAAACAATATTGTAAATTATATTTTTTGTATAGATATAAAAAGGCAGTTATTTTCAGATTTTAGCTGGAAATTACAACTAGAAAATATCTTCCTCACCATTGAGAAGGCATAAACTACATGGTTTTTGTAGTCTGCATGCCTATCAAAGCTAGTTATATTTAGCTTTGAGCTACAGTAAATAGTAGCACCAGAAAATGTTTTTCTTGCCATTGAGCAATTCATTTATACAATATTGCATTTATAACTTTTGTATAAATATAAAAAATAGTTATCTTTAGCTTTTAGCTGAAAATTAGAACTAGAAAATCTCACCATTAAGAAATGCAAAAACAAGATTGTTCTTTTAGTCTTTGCATGAATATCAAAGCTATTTATAGTTAGCTTTGAGCTAAATATTAGCACTAGAAATGGTTTTCCTCACCACTGAGAAGTGCATTTAAATAATATTGCTTTTGTAGTTTTGTATAAATATAAAAGGTAGTTATCTTTAGCTTTTAGCTGAAAATTACAACTGAAAAATGTTTTTCTCACCATTACGAAATGCAAAAAACAAGATTGTTCTTGTAGTCTTTGCATGAATATTAATGTTAGTTATATTTAGCTTTCAGCTCCATATTAGCACTAGAAAATGTTTTTCTCGCCATTGAGAAATACATAAACAATACTGTTTCGATAGCCTTTGTATAAACACTTTGCACAAGCATTTTTTTTTTGGTTTACTGACAAGAAAATCCTTAAATTTAATAGTACACTTTTTTTTTTTATAAGAACACATTTTGTAAGAACACTGAGGCTGAAATTGCTTAACAACTAAGAACAAAATAAGAACAAATTGAGGTTGAGGTAAAATGTCAAATGATATTTTTATTTAAGAAACTAGAAAAACCAAAAAATTATATCCCTCCCTCATGTGCAGTAGGTGTAACTATGTAATAAACTATATAACACAGTACAGTAGGTGTACCTACTTGTCATTTGGGGTCATTTTTACCAGGGCCTTTTTTCTGGGGCTATTTTTTCCAGGGCCACTTTTATCTACATTCCAGTACAGTGTATACTACCAATAATACTTTTCTATGTTTGAAAAGTGTGTAAAAAATAAGAACAAAATAGAACATTTTGAGCCTGAAATCAGCCAAAAAATAAGATCACTGAGCCTGGGCAAAATTTTACTGGTTCTTATAAAGGGTAGACGATTTAAGGATTTTCTTGTAAAAAAAGCCTGTAAAACAAAAAAAAAACCTGAAGTTTTGCTCCATGTCTCACTGGGGTTGATACTTGATTCTTTGAAATGAGAAATTCAATGTTAATTTGAAAAGGTTTTCTACAAATTAAGAGAGACAGCAAGCCAATATCTTTAACTGAAAAAACATTCAGTCTGATGAAAAATCCATGATAAAGCAAACATATTGATCATATTTATTTACAAATTAACTTGCATATTTTAAATTAGCGTAAGTATTCTACTGAAAAACTTGTATAAGTGGAAATATGATGAAATAACCTCAATTATTTTTTTTTATAGATATGCAATGTAAAGTCAAAAAAATAAACAGAGAAAATGGAATCAACTATAACATATTTTAATTACATTTATTTATATAGGCCCTTTGTATACTAATTATTAAAAATTCATTTTCATTTGAAAGATATCTTTCCTACCGTTTGATGATGGCTGCACTGGTTTATCCTCCGCTGATATGGTTTTAATGTCCTTTTTGGGTTGAGCTAAGCAAACACAGTAAAAACAAGAGATAACAACTATAATAGTAGTGATGATGAATAAGATGACAATAATAAAAAATATTACTTGCAAGTTATAGATCGCCCTACCTGACGTGGAAATATACTCATTATGTGTGAAAAAAAATTGTGAAAAAATCACAAGTTGTTCTTGGGTGGGACTTGAACTCACGATCTCCTGACGTAAATCCAGATATTGTCTATTCCATCACGACAATAATAATTACTATCAAGTTATATATCATAACATCTCAATACACTGAAAGCCTTCAACAAATTTAATGAGACATAATAATAGAAGTTTATGGCCTAGCAAATGGCCTGACATGTTTTACTATCATATCACAATATAATGTGCATGATAAAGTCATATCACACCCATAAATGGACAAATCACACCCATAAATGGGCAAATCACACCCATAAATGGGCAAATCACGCCCATAAATGGGCAAATCATTATGCATTGATCTGTCAGAGTTTCATAGTGTGGACAAAGCATTAGTTGTGTAGGTGTGAAAGAGCCACTGAGAAAACACCTCCAGGGAGATAAAATTGATAAAGGAGACATTTTGAATACTCTAAATCTACCTTGGTCAACAATATTGCTTCGTGAGGTTGCAAATTTTGGCAGCGGAACATCAATACCTGGAAAATAAAGTCATAATGTTTTTATCAATTAACCTATAGAAAGACAACAGTATAAAATACAAAAGTTACCTTATTTCACATTAAAAATGAAATGTAAAGTAAATCAGATAGAAATAGGGACCATTGTAAAATAAATAAAATGTATTGCATAAATCATGAATATAATAAATTAAATTAGTTTTACAATACTTAAAAAAAATACTGTAATAAAAAATTAAAATGTTAATTTTAGTATAAGAAGTGTATATTTCATTACTGTATAAATATATTCTTAAAGTCATCTGCTTTGGAAATCTTGGTTAAACTGTTAACTATATGAAAAGATACCGGTAGATAAATAACATGACATTCTTCATTCATATTATTCACTGTATATCATGACATGACAATTAATCAAATACATCAATTAAGCAATCAATCAAGTAATGAAATTAACTAATAATTAAATAGATTTTGCTGATTCTCAGTTATAATGCCAGATCACCATAGGAAATTACTACACTAATGTAGTAAAATTTGAATCCATTCATGGTTAGTTATCAAGCAATCGCCAATTTCCTGCCGTGCAATCTGGGCCTGGTGCAAGAACGGATGTGCGCGCCGAGGCAGCGATAGGTTGATATAAAATAGTTGGCCCCAGTGCTAAGAAGTCTCCACAATTATTCTCATCAATAACAATAAAAACAGACAGACAAACAGAGAAACGAAGCTTGTCTAACAAGGGCTTAGATTTCCCAAGCCCTGGGGACCGTAAACCATTTTGAGGCCACCTTGGGGGTGTAAATTAGTCAGTGAAACTTAAGTAGCAGTTGTGTCAGGTACAGGTATACTTAAAATCACTTTCAGGCTGGGCTGAATAATTAATAGATCAATTATAACCTTCTTTGTACTCATTCCACAGAGGATTCAACATACTTTCTGCAAAGTTGTGTTAAGCATTAAAGTAAATATTGGTCGACTATGAAAGCCAGCGGCGTTATCAGCTGATCTTCATAATAATTAAGATGGGGTGGTGATTACAATTCAAATGAAGCAATTATTTGATAGCCTCAGAATAATCACCTATTTTTTAGCTCATCCATTGCAATATTTAGGCATATTTAGTGCCATAATAAATAGATGACTATCCAGTATAAAACAAATATGTTGCAGTTGAAATTTTAAAAGAAAATGAGGAGGCATATGTTGTTTTTTTCCCCGTTAAATATTCTCACTAAACACAAATAAGTGTCTAGATACTCAATGTTTATGCAGATCACTTTACAGAATGTTTTGGTTTTATGCAATATTTTTACTTGTTTTAATAAAACAGAACAGAAGTTTATCTGAAATTCAGTCAACAATAGAAAGTACTTATAAATGTATACTTATTCTGGTTTAAAGTTGTAGAATATAAACTCTGGAAGAATGCTTGTTTTTAGTATCAATAACTTACACTGTTGTGTGAAACATCAGGTGGTAAATAAAAGTTAAATAACAATTCCATATGGAAAATACCATTATCAACTACAAGTGAATACTTTACTATATTTGTATATTGCTTTTTTATAGTGTGCAACAATAAAATTTAATGTATTGAAAATGAATTCAATGATTAAGAATTTATTTTCAAATACACATAATTTTATTTCACTTTGTTTAGTTGATTCACACACTTAATATGTTAATGAAAATCACATTGCAGGTAAAAATTAAGATTGACATTCAAAAATCTACAGTTCATAAAATATTATTTCAAGAAAGCAACATAATTTTTGAGATGAAATAAAGATTCAAGAACATGATTATTGGAGTAAATTAAAATGATTTCGAATGAATAAAATTATTTTGAGGAAACATAATATCATTTCAGGAAACAAAGTAGTTTCAAAGTTCACCATGTCATCTCTTTACAAGGACCTACAGTATGTAGCAATGCTTTCACTTTTGTTTCTTTTAACTGTTTACTCAATTGTGTATAACAATAGTAAAATCTATGTCATTCTAAATAAACTCCAAGTATATTAAATGTTTAGAATTTGTAACTATTTGTGCAAAGGAATCCTTCTGTTTGTGAGATTTGTGCCCAGGGACAAGACTGAAACTGACCAATAATATTTAGTTTTATACCCAGAATTTAAAATATCTAAAAAGGACAATGAGAATGTAAATACTGGGCCCATATGTATGCAGAATTCTCTCCAGTAAAAAAATTGTTGGGAATAATCAGATGGAAAGTAATTTTAAATCATTCAATCTGCTTCGGTGAGAATGACGCTTAAAAAACGTACTATTTTTTTTTGATCGAACAGGCTTATAGATTACCCAATGCTCTTTCATCGGAGTCCAAACGTTATACTGTAATTAATTCTGAATGTGAAACGTACCCTACTAAATATATGTGACATTTTTAAATGCTTTCAAATAACATGTAAAGTAGTTATTTATATTGATGTTGACATCCAGAAATAATTTGACTACAATTTTCTTTTTTAGGAACACTGTTTATGATTGAATATAAACTCTATTTTCCTCTTTCTCTTCAACTATATCCATTACACAACCCTGAAATACTTCAAAATCATAGGGTAAGGATATGGTACTTACTAACAATGGGGTCAATAATTGTTGTTTGCGCTTACTGTACGTTTGCGATCTGAACCTCAAGTTTGTGGTTTTTAAGACCTTGCGCGCATTGCGTCCTTGGAGAGGCATTTTATTCGTGAATACATACAGTACTTAGTACTTACAACCCATGATATAATATCATCATTGGCTTAAAATGTGGCAAAGACAAGCCAAACCAGTCACTGGTCACAAAAATCGATTTCGTAAAAAATCTTTTAAATCCGACATTTACTTATGAAGTTTACAAGAATTTAACATAGAGCTGTTTATAGAACAATATTTGAGAAATCAGCCTTCAAAGTTTATGATTTTAGGCATTTCTCAGGCAAAGATAATTACCAAATCATTAAAAATTGTTGTTTTAACATTAAAATGGGGAAAATAATGTATATATATCTGTCTCTTATTTAGTGCAATAAAATAGATTTTAAAAAATTTGACATTTCAGAATGTTTTGGCCATTATCTCTGAACACGATTTGTGACGAGTGACTGGTTTGGCTTGTCTTTGCCACAAATAATTTTTGTAAAATGCTGTAAATTTAAGTTTTTCCAAATATATAAATTCTAATCTATTAACTCTGTAAACGGCAACTTTGTTCCCTGTATAATGATAATGAAATATAAGTGCTTTTAATAAAAGATTCTCAATTACGATATGTTGTAAAATATACCAATATAAGTCGTTCAATTCAAATCAATAAATAAATACATTAACAAATATGCACAATCCTTAGTCTTCAGACTTCTTGTTTGTTGGATGAGGCATGATATAGGCCTAGGGCATGTTTCTACTGATAAACACAAAATAATCAAATTTTTAAACCACTTTTTGAATGAGTGCTAGACAGCCTGCCCGCATTGCAACTGGTTTTTTGCTTTTACGAAAAGTGGTTCTCGAGGTGAAAATTACATCACCATTTAGTTTAAACAACATGTTTTCCAAACTGTATAGTTTCTTTCTCACCAAGACTTCACATTCCGGTCATGGTAATGAGGATACGGTGTGCAGCAAGAAAGCAGATCCTTTCAGCTGTGGTCATCGGCACAACAAACGAGCAAACGAACAATCACTACGGTAGGTCAGAAGAGCGGAGTGAGAGGCCTAGGCACAATATTCCCCACTAAAATAATTACAAAACGAGTAATTTTGTTGCTCCACATATTTGTTGACATTTCAGCTTAGGCCATGGACATGAACAAAAGGAATAATCGTTCTGGAAGTTCATACCCGATACGATCTAGCTTTGCAGTGGTTTGACCAGAAGGTCACATTTCACATAATAATTACTTTTTGTGTTGCAGCTAAAGAGTGCACAGCAAAAATAGGTTATTTGCCATTCAAACATGTTATTCACTGCATGTTTTTTGAACTGGTCCAGTTGTTACTACGAGAAAAAAAAAAGTGATTTTTTTTTTTTGAAAAAGCAATTTTTTCTTTCCTGTAGAAGGAGGCCCCTAGTGTATGTCAATATGTGGTATCTATCAAGGTCGACATAGTGTTGTTGATGCAAATCCTAGGCTAAAGGGGACTACATTGGCAGATGTTATTTATGGTTTATTTTATACCCTTGACTTAAAGTAGTAGTTCCTGTGAAAAACATAAACATCCTTTTATAATTTATTTTCCATGTTGTTTTATTTAATCTTTAGTGTCAATGCCACTTCAGTGTGAAAGTCCTATGTGATGATGACATCATTTTTGGGAACTTGGATACATCTTGACCATTGACACATAAATGAAAATGGAAGCGTTTTAAGTTGTGATCACCTGCTCTACTATGTAGGATGATCAATAGAATTAGTTGGATTGCCACTTTAATTGTTTAAACCAACTGCATGCTAGTAGAATATAGTTGCAGGAAAGTACATTCCTTTAGCAAGCGAAAATAATTCATGTCTTCGATATCCCCTACTGTACTGTATTATGTATGGATAACATGCAAAAGCACTGCAGAGAGGCTTAGAATGTCATGAGGACACTAATCTCTCTGTTGGCCTACTACAAATACTGTAAAAGTGCTTGCATTTTATACAGCAATTCTGCTCTTCTTATACTTTTGATTGATTGATTAATTATTTGATTGAATACCTGATTGATTAACTATTTGATTGATTGATTGATTGATTGATTGATTGATTGATTGAAAGAAATACTCACCAGAATACAAGCCTTCGATTGATGTTGGCATTTGGTATCCATTTTGAACCATAGCAATTAGTTTAAGTGCCAGGAAAAATTGACTTCTCCCAAAATGGCCAACTCTGATTGCACCGCATAATTCAGTTATCTACCAATTAAAAACAAAGATGGCAGACCTAAGTCAAAATAAATTCCTTAATGGACATTACTTGCAAGAGGACATTCTTAAGACTTAATAATAAATTAGGCTAGCTACTCTTGCTACTAATCGGCTAACTAAAAAAAAAAAGTTTCTTGTCGATCTTTTTAGAAAATAAATGAGTGCTTTTTTATTGGCCATCTGATTTTTTCAGATTAAAATTTAATACAGGTCTCCTTCCAATTAAAGACCACTTGGGAATGGGATTGCGATTTTTTATAGCAGGCTTTGATCTCTAATTAGAATAATAAAGATGAAAGACATAAGTTAATTTGGAACCACAGAAAAGTGGACTTTAATTGGAGGTGGCCTTTAATTGCAAGGGTATTTAATTAGAGGGAGACATGTATTGGAATCTCGTTTACAAGTATAAAATAAAGGAATGCTCTTCTATTGGAATACACAAATTCATGTTACAAAAACATAAAGGTATTCAACTTTTTTACATTACAAAAAAAAAAAGAAAAAAAAAAGAAGCAAACTAATAAAATTAAGACAGCAGCAATAAAGGAAGCTGACAGGAATGACTAATAATACTGTTTTTTTTAACTTGGCTATAAATTTTCTGGAGAGCCTATAAATACATTCTACCAATTCAATTTAAATAATAAAACGCATTGTTTGCAAAACCACAACTCACTAAAAATTATTTAAAATAAAAACATATTTCTGGCCTGTTAATAGACGTGTCACCGTAAAAATTTAAAATCTAGGAAATTGTAAATTTTTATTTATCTTTATCATACCTGCTGCAGCCATTAAATAGCAATACCACTATCTATATTTCTTCAATATCAAACACAGTAAATATGAAGAAGTATTTATTAATCAAATTACTAAAATATTTACATCTCAATATCACAACATTGAAAGTGTTCTTTAATATCTTTTTGTTCTATCACTCACACACTTTAATTTACAAAAATTTGTCAATAAAATTTTATTTAAATTTTCTCCTTTGCACTATAGATGCTTATGCTGAACTATTTTGCTAAATGGGAAAATAGAATTACATAGTATTTCCAACCACCACACCACTCCTCTGATCTTTAAAATATTAGGTTTTACTAACACAAGTAGAAAAAAAATCTTGTTTTACAGGTACCGTACTCATGCGAGTAAGCGCCCTTGCGCCTAAAATATTTTTTTGCACTTAGGTATACAGCACTTTCTTCATCACAATCCTCTTAAAATAAAGATAAATATCCTCATTTTGATATTGACCTAAGAAGAATGGTATTCCACTCTGCAGCTCAGATCATGCAAGTAACCACAGTCCCAGGATTGATTGGATTATTGACTTGCTAAAAAGAAATCTCATAATATTATTATTCGAAAGGGGCGCTTATTCAAACGGGGCTCCTATTCGCGGGAGTACGGTATACATCACTTTCTTCATCACAATCCTCTCAGAATTTCAATTTTCTTTCAAACAGCATCTTGGCAAAACACCATTATTCCAAGTACATCACTAGTAGTTATATCAAGTACAAATGTGCGCTGCATATAATCAATAATAAATGAGAGTGCTATTAAGGAAACAGCACATTTCATTTGCAAATAAATCAAATTTTATTATCAGTCTGTCAGGCAGTAGGCTTTCAAGTAAGCTCTCCACAATTATACATGAAGTACATAACAGTAAATTTTACCAGGATAAGTCTTAGCTAGTAATTGCTTTTGTAGAGAAGTTTCCGATACACAGCATCAATGCCCCGGATTGATCTTCTAGTATTGTATTAGTGGCGCGCATAAAAAAAGCGTCAGAAGGGCCAAATTGATTGTTTTATTCAAAATTGAGGGCTGCAATCAAACTTATGGTGAACATTTTACATTTTCAATGTGCTTGCAAAAGCCTATACAATCCTTCTATACAGCTCCAATTTTACTAGCACTTTATTTTAATTAATTTTTTGAAACATTAATTTTTTTAGGCAAATTTACACACTAAAAAATGTTGTACAGTATTCCATCTTCAACATGAAAGTTGGGGGGGGGGGTTGTTCCAAGAAAGATAATGCACCATCCAACAAGGAGATAATCAGGAAAGGTTGATTGAACACTTGCTTGGTTCTAAAAGCACACTCTAGCAGGAAAGGCATACAGATGTCCAGGCTAGTCCCTAGTCTAAGTATTCTGCAAACCTGGCCTACCCGCTGTAGGTTAGGCCAGGCCTTATTCATTCAAGCCCTATTTGATTGGAGGCCTGCCTGCCTGCAGTACCTAGCTAGGGCCTAGCCTTGTTAGGCTACACACACCGAGACATGCACTGGATGGAACAGTGGTACGTGCATTATTGCAATTGATTGGGCGCATAAATATTTGTGAAGTTTAATGCATTTTATAATAAGACAGACACTTCATATGAGCAAATAAAAGTCAAAAGTATAGCAGCGTACCTTCTGTAAAACATCTTGATTTAACTGAGATGACATAAATAACTTCGAAACCTGATGCCACATCAATTTCCCGGAGTTCTCTTGATCGCAGGAGCTGAACCAGTCTGAATAAAACTGCTGCTCAGTTGGCGTTAGCAAAGTACCTTCCATCTTATATATATTTACAGGTATCGAACATATAATTAAATAGCTATAAAATATACGTATATTTCAACTTTCTTCACGTATTCAGGCGAAAATTGACCACAATTTCTGCCCCGCCTTTCTGTCGAACATATCAACACAGAAGGCGGCCATCTTTAATTATCACGTGACCTCCAGCGCCCTCTTTCATCAGCCTAACTTTTTTTCTGGCCCCTCGGAGGATCGCGATGAATGATAATTTTTCAGAAAATTAAAACAGCGCAAAAACCAGCACAGATGAAATAAAGAAGAAACATTAAAAATAAGCAATTGAAAATATTAATAGCCATCCTATTTATATTAGCTCAGCCAGTTAATTGTTTATTAATTCGTGGAGAGTATAATATTATATAATTCTCGGATTCGAGAGGAAAAAATTTAATTAGGCCTATAGGCCTAATATTATCATAAATTAATGAAGATGAAAGTTTCTTAATAATAAACCAACTTAAACCCACCAAGCCAGCACTGAATAGAGTATGGAGATAGGCCTACGCCCAATTGTCGCTATAACCAAGGATTGATCTAAATACTATAATTTCACGTAGGGCCTATTTATTCAACCAACATCTAAAATAAAAATCACTATAAAAGTAATATGTAAAAAATTGAAATGCTGAAGCCTCCATGGGCTTTGTCTGGGTCTGTGAAGCTACAATTCAACTTAATTATGACAAACAGTTGGTCGACTTATGTAATTGAACCAGGCATCTACCCAACAATTACCAAGATTTATAGGTTAACGGTAAAAACAAAACACACACGAAAAAACTTCAAACCATATAATTTTTAGACTCGTATAATACTTTTCTGCGTCTATTAATTTTATTTTAAATTAAAATTAATTGTTCCCTAAATTTCCTAAGCTAGGTTGTCATAAGGTGAGCCTTCTTTCATTATTTCTGCTCATGCTGATTTGGAACTCTTTTCCAATCCAATTCCGTTATAATAATTAGAACACTTAGAACTCGTATGTTCACATCGTTTAAATTGTATTCTCTCTCGTTCGTTTGTTCGTTGATGCCGACGTTGTGTGGTCCCGTGTGTGGTCTTCTTGGAGCAGGCGCTATGGAAATTTAGACGCATCTCTATGTGGCAAAAAAATCAATGATAATGCGACCATGCTGGCTGCCAATTCATTCAGAAATTAAATTAAAGAGGAAATTATGAAATTTCCCAGCTAACAATGATGTTGTGTAATAACGTTTCAATTCGACTTTAAAAAGGTTTTTTTGTAAACTGAATCGTATCTATAACATAATTGGACCAAATAGCGTTAATTTCTGACATAAAGTAACCACAGCGTTTACAACGTTCGCGAATAGTAGGCCTACAACGTTTTTTCTGTTTTCTTTTCACTTTGTATTCAAATGCTAAAAAAACTAACTTTAAATGTTTATAATAATCATAGGCGTAGATCCCGGGGATGGGGGATATACCCCCCCCCCAATATTTGACAAGGGGGGGGGGATGGTCCATTGTATCATCCCCCCAATATTTTGACTGTATGGGATAAAATGGAGCTTTACACACTTCAAAAGACTGTCACAGAAATAATTTGCAATGTCTTATGCGCTTACTAAGATGAAAATTAGCATAATGTATTAATGTTGATAACAAAATTATTTTATCTGATACCAATCTAAGCTCTTCTTTCCTTAGATATTAGATATGCTTGCAAAGCAAGCCACATTTTCACACTAAAGGGTTTGAACGACATCAGTAATTTTATGTCAATTCCAAGAATTTTCAATCATCCACCCTCCCCCCAATGAAAAATACTTTTCTACGCCACTGATAATAATAACAAGTTATTCGAATACAGAATATATAAAAGGTTAATCATTCATTTTCGTAGAGTAGTGTATGTGCGAATTTCAAGTAACTGGCGAAGGTTTTGTATAGGATAAAAATGATGATTATAATCCTGTCTTCACCATCTACGAGTTTAAAACTATTCTCTCAGTCATAGATGTAGAAACAGGGGCGGCGCCAGGAATTCTCCGACGAGATACACCACCTTTACAGTGGACTGTGCTTTAGGAAAAGCCATTTAGGGGATATAGCAGTTAGATAGAGGGTTTGGCAATTTCCGTCGGCGAAGACAATTGGGCTCTATGGGGGAAGCGAAGATCTGCTGGGGGTCCAGATGATAAGCCCTTGTGGAGAATTTCAAGCAATTCTAAGACATTATAGAAGTTAGAACGTATTAATAGCCAGATATAAAAAATGTGTCTAAGGTGGGGAGCAAGATTTTTCTGATACACCACTGTATAAGGCTTCAACGCCTCACTGTCTTATGGCAAGTTTTTGTACGACATTGATGCAGAGACCTTGAGGAATACTAGACCCGCTCAGGGGCAGATCCAGAGATGTCCAAAAAGGGATGAGGGTGCCGATCGAGATAACACTACCCTAGTGGTCGGGGACCATGCCCCCAGCAAAAATATGGTGTTCTAGACGCCCGAAAATAACCTCTGAGGCGCTTTGGGCGATCAATTTTTTTCCTTTTCTTTTTTGCTTTTAAAAGGTCCTCCACCCCTCTAAATTCGCCCTGCCTCTTCCAATTAAAGCCATGGAGCTAATTCTTATAAAAAGCATGGTATATTTATTGCTACACATGTTCTGTATGGTTGTCTAATAAAAATTTTGGCTGGCAAAGTCACTGAGAGTGGCCCTGATTCCCAGAGATCAGAGCATAGCTGCCTGTGGGATCTAAAGGCTGGCTATGACTCAGTGGCAGGGACCAAGTGGGGGTGATGGGGAGCGAAGTCGCTATTTATACTCTTTGCTAGAAGCTACAGCCTTTTAGGTTTTTAGATGTCTAATTTAAACGATTATGGAGTAAAAGGGGATAGGCCTACAAGCCATTGTGAATCAACTTTCATTTAATTTATAACAATCAATCTGAAATTAACAATAGATCACCAATCAAAATATTACCGTACCATCAAGAAATATAATTTATTATAGCAAGTACTTCATCTTAAAACATAATTTTATACACAAAATTATTTATTTTTAGTTTTTATCAATTAAGTATCTCAACCAAGATACAGCCATCG